ACCAGCTATACAGGGTGTTCAAACTGATTTCTAATGGGGTACAGGAAAAGAAATACACTGTTTGACTTTTCTTTGATATAGCCAAAGCTTTGATAGGTTCTGGATTTACTGCTTGATTCACAAATTAATTACTCAGTCTAGGCTTCGCAGACGACATCACAAACATCATTTAATCCTGTCAAACAGGTAGAAACTTTGCCATTCGCATTTCAAACACATATTCCTCTTGCCGTGTTATTTTAGCTGGCTCCTTACTCGAGCCTACACTTTTCAACTTATACATGCACTACATCCCCAAACACGCAACGTAACTTTAGTATTTTATGCTAATGATACTGCAGTCCTCTCACATAATGCTTTTATGGATATTATTCGGAGATCTGCTTTCAAACGTACCCTTACAAACGGCTGTTCTGTTGAGTAGAATGGAGCAACACCGGAGTACCTAAGTGCACTGACCTTACCCTCCATCGAAGAATATTCAGTTTCGAATTTATCTAGGCAAACCCCCCCCAAAAAGGGAAGATTCTAATAGTAATTACAAAAGGTTCTGAAGTTAAAGAAACATAGTAATATTCATAAGAAAAGGCCGGAAATCAAACGTGGCTGTCGAGATGAAATACGAAGAATAGCATGTAAAAGACAATTACAAGAATACAAGGCACGTAATAAAATTTAAAAAACACACATACAAACAAAAAGCACGAATACGTTAAGCTACGAATAAATACAAAGCTACAAAAGTTCTCACAGACTGAAAATAATGCAAATAAAATATTAAACTCTCAGCACAGTATCACACATACTTAGTTTCCATTTACATGACATAAATTTACGATAAATATATCCTCCAATAATGAAAAATATTGTCAATAAAAGTGGGGCGCCACGAACCTCATCCATACGGCCAATCATTGTTCTTATTATATCGAAAATGAAGAGTCACTGAAAATCTTACTTATTTAGCTAATCTTATTTAGCGAATAATCTTCATAAAAACTACAAAAGCTGCAGAGATGTTATTTGTGAAATTTTTCTGAGAATTTGCTTTGTTGAGCGGAGGCAATAAAGTATGGTCATTAACATCAATGGTTTTATTAGATTTATTTGTATTTGCTTCCTTACTGGAGCAACCCTTAGAAGTGATAGGTATTTCAGAATTAGGAGTTTCTCCTTGATTGTTTTGTGGAAACATGCCCTCCACGCGGCTCAGATCGAGTTTCATTAATATCCGACGATCTAGTCGGTTTTTTTATCATATCAGTGGGATTTTCGGACATAATCGAAAGTTGGCAGCATGTGCTCCATCACAGTTAAAACAAGTGAGTTTATTAATAAATTTTGCTTCGCATTCCGAACTCTTATGAGGCACAGCTTATCTAACACATCTCGAAGCGAGTTTACACTCATCCAAAGAGTTGAATAAATGTTGACAGTTGTGCCATTGAGCCACACAACCTCTGTTCTTATATGGTTCAACTTTAATATTAAAACAGAGAAAATTACTGCATCATAAATTTTCTCAGTTCCCGAAACATTGGCTAAGTGAATCTAAAATACAGGCAATGGTGTCCTAGTTTTAAATCTGTACATTTGATTAACCTTAATGAAGTTGAATCCATCGCCAATCAACTCTTCTTTAATTTCGTCTGTGGTGGAATCCCAGGGGAAGCCTCTTAAAACTTCGCTGGTTTTACCTTTTTGCCATTTAATACATAATGTTGGATACTATTAGCTCCCAGGTATCTGGTAATCTCCTGGTGATAGTCAACGGTAAGTGGGAATAAGTTTAAAAATTCTCCAGAAATATCAGGAAAAGCCACATTCAGTGTTTTCGACAAAGTCATTGAATTTAAATGGAGGAATAACATAATTAGTATAATCCATGGTTTTAGTAAATGACAGCCCGGGGGGGAGCATCTTCAGATTTTTCACCATTAATATTACCATTATTTTCCCTATTATCAAGGTTTGCAAATTTGTTATAGATTTTTAACATTTAGGTTATTCTTAAGGATTTTTCGCCGACGGAGAGTATTCCTAGGGGACGTAAACCCGTCCATGCCTGTTTTTTTTTTTTTTTTTCTTCCTGCACATTTTCTTCGAATTGATCTTAGTTTTATTAGAGGAGTTAAGTTTATCTACATCAGTACAATATTTGACATCTTTAGATGTACCAGATTCATTAGCACAGATAGAAATAATAACAGGCTTCTTAATATAATCGACATTTTTCCTAGCACATAATTTTTCTTACCGTTAGAATTAGTTACATTAGCATTAACTAAATTAGAATAAACAATAGAATTATTACATGCCTTCTAATTTCGCTCTTACCTTTGAATAGTCTTTCATCTCCTTAATTTGGCCTTCGACGCGCATCTGCTGAGAAATACATCCCACTCCGGGATTAGTTATCAGAAAAGTTTCACACGCACTACGAAGTTTTCCGCAATATTATGAAAACTTTACGCATTAATGAAATCAAGGTGATCGAACCCTTTTTTTGGCCAGTGTGTCTTTTAAAACAGGATTTCTTAAACTTTTTTCAGTCGCGACCCCTTTTTATCACTGAGATGTTTTCGCAACCCCAGGACCCCATAATATTAAAAAAAAAAAAAAAAAAAAAATTGTAGGACCCCCAACAAGTATTGCAAATACCTGACACAAGCGTAAGTGAAACTGTCAATTTTTTCACTTGTACTGTAATATACTATTGTAGTTTTAGGTCATTAACTTTAATTTCCAATTTTAAGACATAGAATAATGCAAAATCTTTAAATAAATAACAGACGAAATGAGAGCGTCACATGATTCTGCTGGGTATTTTTGCACTCTTTAATTTTTACTTCCTCCTTAGTTAAAGTACTCCTCATCTTACTTGCATTTCCAGCCTAATTTGAGAGTCGTCACTGGTGTAGCCCTGAAACATTTCATCGAGGACTTTTTCCACTTCCTACACTGTTCCTGATCGATGTGATGTCTACTTCGGAAACTGTGTAATTGCTTTTCCCTACGAGTTTTTCAACCTAATGTTCTCCCTCTTTTATATTCGGACACATTCGCAGTGGCTAATCGGCCGACGGTGCCGAATAACATCGTGAGTTGTGGATCCCTGGTGGTTTACCATCTTTTACGGATCCAGTTTTTCTCTTTAATACTATTTCTTATATCGGGAGTCAGGGGGAGGAAAGGCTTGTTCACATAAAAAGTATTGGTGGCTTCTCTTAAAGCAGAATTGATGCAGTTGGTAAATTTTGATACTTCGTGTTCTAAATCTTCTTTGTTGTTGATGCATGGGTTACCTTGCATGGAGTTATTCAGAATTTCAGAGTATTTGATCCAATTTGTAACTCCTTCCGTCAAGTGAGGGGAGGTATTTATTAATGGGGATTTCAAATACAATGGGGTTGTGGTCGGAAGACAGGGCTGAAATTTCAGAGATATTGCAACTATTAGTAATGTTATTTGAGATGAAGAAGTCAATTGTGATGGCGCTATTCTACCCGTAATGGGTGGGCTCGTCTGGAGCATGAATGTTATAATTATTTTATTGAATGAGTTTAAATATGTCATTTCCTTTTTTGTTCGCAGGTCCTCAGTTCCAGCAGGGGTGTTTGGCGTTGAAGTCCCCTTCGACAATGGTAGAAGTATTAGAATTGAGGAGGTGAATCGATTCTTGTGCGCTGGGATTATTATTTGGTGGGATGTATATATTTCGGAATTTTGAATTTTTTATGTTCTATTACAATTTCTACTGTGTTACTTTCGAAAGTGGTGCTGGGATTAGGAATTTGAGAGTGTTTTATGCTCCTTTTAACAAATGTGATGATGCCACCCCCTCTTCCTGTCTCACGATCCGTACGGTAAGTGCTATAATTAGCATAAAGTACTTTGAGTGCTGGTTTAAGGCGAGTCTGTTGTATGAGTATTACGTCAGGTTCAATTTCAATAATGAGGTTGGATAATTCATCTTTTTCATGGTAAAGATCGTATAAAGATTTCATGGTAAAGACCGTTTGTGTTCCAAGAGAGGATTTTTATGTTGAAGCTATTCTTGAAATTATTAGAATTAAAGATGATTTCCTATTTTTTCAATGATTTCGACTACTGCGATTATTTTATCAATAGGTGATTTCTTGGTTTTAATGTTTTTGAGTCCTTGTATCACAAATGTCCAGATTGTTTTTAGCGAAGAGAAGTCAAGAGGTCTGGACAGGGAGGATTCTGCGGTGTACTGATAGTTCTTTCTGTTGAATTTTCTTTTTGAATGGAGGTTTGAGCGAGATTTTCGTTACTGTTTGATGTCGATCGGAGGAAAGTATTGTCTTCTATTAGTCCATGGGAATTGATTGCTGATGGAGGGCTGGGTTGGAATTGAACTTGTTTGTTTTTTGGTTTGGCCGGACAATTGAGAAGTTGGCTGGATGAGGACCTTTGCAGTGATAACATATGGTTGGCTGGTCGCGACTATGGGTGCATTCTATAGGTTTATGATTGCCTCCGCAACGGACGCATACCCAGTCTCTGGTGCAGAGCAGGGAACTGTGAAAAAATCCCTGGCATCTATAGCATTGGGGAGGGCCAGGTTTCTTGTGTAATGATTCTATTAATACGTTCATATAACCTATGCGTTTGATATTGAATACTTTCTTATTTTCTTCTGATTTTGGTATATGTACCAAGAAACGCGGCATTGGTTTATTTTCTTTTATGTTTCTTAATAGTGTAAAAAAGTTAACCTTGAATCCTTTGTCAAGTAGTTCTTGAGTGATGGTTCGGGTAAGGCTCCTATGTACCTATTAGAGGAGTCTTAGGTTCGGGGATTTGTGGATAGAAACATTTTTAGAACCAAAAAAATAAATAATTAATTATTAAATGTTTTGAACTCTATATCTTCACGACTATTAATTCTTTTATATTTTAAATCAATATATATGTCAATTATATTTTTTTGTTTCGTGAAAGATATTTATCAGTTGATGTAATTTTTTTTTTAAAAAGAACTCTCTTTCGGTATGGCATTTAACCGTTATGGGGTCTGTTTTCACAGCTTGAGAGTATGTTTACTCTAGTTTTAAAGTTCTAGTTGAATGTCAATACTATTCTCTCCCTTTCGTCTTACCATGGTAATTACATTTTTAATAAACAAGTTTTTTTTAAATATATTTAACTGAAATAAAAGTGAGCAAATTCTCCTTTGGGTATTCCACGTTGATAAAACATGCAATCATGGAATATTCTTAGCCCGGTGCACTTATATATTTACTATATTTTTTGTAAATGTACGACATTATGTAATTCATATTTGATATTGCTAGTGCACAATTTTTTTACATTGATGCATAATTTTTAAAAATGCATCCGGATACGTAAAAAGACTTTCTTGAAATGAAAACTTTTATTCTCTGCAAAGTCTTATCATATCGAAATATTTAGTTTTAATTTCAGAGCAGTTGGAAATATGTAAAAGAACCTAAATAAATATTTCTTAACAATACTAGAACTGTCAGGGATTTGATTCCGAGTGGGGATAATTGGTAAGTTTGTACGCTCAGTGACCCGCCTACTTGGCAAAATATTACCGAAAACTGGTGCCAGTTGTAAAGAAGTGCATGTATTTCGAGATGTGATATATGTGCCCTATTAAGCAGAACAAATTAGTAAAAGTAAATTTAGGCAGCCTGATGTAGCAAAATGCTTTTCCCCATTTTATTCTTAGGCATGATGTTTTTACATTAACTAAAAGATAAAGTTGAATTTTATCTAATTTAAATAATGTTGTGTATAAACATGTAAACAATAATTTATATTTATGTGTATAAAAAATTCAACGTGATTTTTTTCAGTTATTTAGTTGTAATACTTTTCTGGCAAATTTATTGAAATAAATTGATGATCTTAGTTAGAATTGACATCCTAAAGCATATTTTTAAATGGCATTATTTACAGAGGATAGGGCATCTTGGTAATATTTCTTCCAAAATGTGAATGTCAGTTTAGTGTTCGCTGTTGACGTATACGATAATCAGTTCTTTGGAGAAATCATACCAGGGACAGAGCTTCAAGCAAAACATTTTCAGTTCAGTTTTGGAAAATCCCATGTGTCTATGTAGGCCACAGATTTCAACGAAATGTGTTTTGGCTAGGAACCCTTCAGTGGTAGGTGATAGGCACAAGCTCACCATATCTTAACTTGATAGAGCACATTTGGGATGTCATGGATCGCCAGCTCAGAGCTCAAACACCGCCATGTCGGAATATCTTGACCATGTGTGACTACTGCATAGACATCAGGTACATCCTGTCTCCCGTCATCTACGAAGAACTTACGGCATGCATGCCAAGGAGAGTTGCAGTTGTTTTGCAGGCCAAAGGTCACGTAATGCTGTAAAGTATATTTTAATTTTAAAGTGCTGTCCTATTAATTCTTGTTTCTACTTACAACTCGCTATCAGAATGAGTTTTTAGAATTGCATTGAATGCAAATGAGTTAGAAGTAGTATTTAAGAGAGGTTCAACTTACTTCGTGAGAGAGAGCTAGGAATACTGAGTAATGTGTGTTTGCCTTTGGGCTAAAACTCTCTTGAAGCTATTATGCTCGGCCATTTATTCCCTGCCTTTTGATATTCACTAGGTATTTAAATTAAGGGCCACCTATGTTAGAATTGTGTTAGCTTCGGCTACGTCTCTTAGTTCTAATTTAGTCTTTATTTCTTATTCTGAGTATAAGCCCATGTGGAGGCTTTGTTGTAAGCCCGAGAAAGGGGCCAACTATTCATCTTATTTTGAGTGAAATAAAGAGTAGTTAATCTTTCTTGAGTGTACGACTTTTATTTATTTGAACTCAGCGATAAGTCGATTAACAGTTCTCTATGTTTCTCGATATTTACTGTAGCCAAAAAGAGTGAGGAGCTCTACAATGCATGATTGAGTAGGTGGTCATAATGTTTTCCCTCTTCAGTGTATATGTATGTGTAATGATAAAAAATTTAGAAGTACATGGAGACTTAGAATCTCAGAAATACTGATGGCGTAGATACGTGATAGCTTAGAATGTAAATCCATAATGAAGAGGAAGAATTTGGATTGTGTAGAATGTAAAATCTTTAGTAACTAAGAAACTTGGCAGTCCACGCAGATTAAATTTTATTTTTATTTAAATTCATATTTGTAGCCACAATTCTTTTGGGTTCTGTAATCATGCCTATTTACGGAACATTTACATTTTTGAGTACTGTTGTAATAAGAAGAGAGCACAGCGAAATGAAATCGCATCCAAGCAGCAACAGAGATACAAGCAAAGTGCGCATTTATCCTGTATTTAAAATCGCCAAGAGGAAGGTTCTGGTTTACGTTAGAAAAGTCTCAGTTCTCAAAGTTTTGAGTTCAAGTTTCCAGTTAGCTACATCATCAGCACACGACATAGTGACTATGCGACATAGATTTATCTAGAAATTATGCAATCAGAGAAGTTATGATTTTTTAGAATAGAGAGGGAGAATTAAGGTAATTAATCTTACCATTAGTTTAAATTATAATTTTGATTTACATATTTTTATCACACACACACATATATATATAATTACAGAACAATTTTTTTAAATAATATAATCATGCCTAGTATTTTTGTGTATTAAGCTGCTGCAAAATTATCAATACACTCTAAGACAAGAAAAGAAAAATGCACCAAGAAGGAGTTATTTGAATAGGATAAAAATTTGTTTGATGTAACGTAAATGTACAGAAACATAAATGATTACAATTTCAGAAAAATTGGTTGATTAATTCAAGACAAAGGACTTCACAAAGTGAGCAAGTCTATAAAACTTTGGTCCACCTCTGACAATGATTCTGCAAAGCAGTTATTCAGCTTGGCATTGATTTTTAGAGTTGGCAGATGTCCTCCTGTGGAATATTGTGGCAAATTTTGTCCAACTGAGGCATTAGATCAGGGGTGGGCAAACTCCGGCCCGCTGATAGAGTTTTAATTTGCCAGTCCGAGGCAAATGAAAAGAAATATATATTTATATACTATATCCATCTCCTTTTCTACTTTGTTTAAATATTTTATGTCTTCCTTTTTTTTTTAAAGGACTGATGATCTTTTTACTTTCTCTATTTTTTGTTCTACAAAACATAAATTGAAGGAAATAGCAAGCACAGACAATGCTGAGGGGCAGGGGGCTCCCAACCTGAGGTACATTGCCAAACGGGATTAGTGCCACCCTACCCACGAAACAATCTACCATGTTGTGACCCCACAGAGCAAGTCAGACAAGGCAGTACCAGTACGTTCCCTGCCGAGCCTTACTCGATCCTGAGAGCCCTCAGGCCTTTTGTGAATTTGTTTTTATACACCCATGGTTGTGACTGCCTAGGTACAGATCCTAACCAGTACTTCCCAGGCATTTGCCTGAGTCAACTCCCTGGGGGTGGCTTTCAGTCGGTAAATGTTAAAAGCGGAAGTTCTTTGCTAGTTATAGCTGTAGACTGGTGCCAACAAGTGTTATCTCTTTCTCGGGGAGCAGACATACGAGATCTAATATGTGGCAAACTGCACATTTTAAGCTCCAGCCAGCGGCTTTTTCTTTTGGTGTGAGTTCTAGTATTATTGATTGCGCGTGGAAAGATTGCGGACATATAGCATCATTGTGAATGGTGGTGAAATTATTAAAAGTATAGCGTAGCTAGTGCTTGTTAGAGTTATTCATAAAATATTTCAACCCCAAAATGGCTACTAAAAAACGTAAAGTTGATTTAGAGTGCCATGCTTTTAATAATGAATGGACCTAGAAATATTTTTTTACTGTTGTAAAAGATAAACCAGACTGCAATGAAGCCGTAGCAGTCTTCAAAGGATATGACATTTTCCATCATTTCACATCTAAGCATAAGAATTTCAATTACGAAGCAGTGTTCAAATATGAAAGAAAACAAAATGCCAAAAGTCTTGGTAAAAAATTATAAGGCATACAAATTTTTTTCAAGAAGATAAACAGTATCCAAGCAGCAGCTACACATGCAAGTTACATTGTAGCATAGAATATTGCTAAAAATAATGATGCTCTCAAATGATGGGAAGCTCGTTAAATGATGCGTGCTCCAAGTTTGTTATGTTTTATGTCCAGACAAGAAAAATAACTTTGAGACTGTAAGCTTATCTCGAAAAAGGTGACTTACTATAATTGAAGACATCGATAAAAATTTGACATCACAATTAGAGTCAAAGATTGGTCAGTTTGAATTTTGCTCCATAGCTATGGATGAAAGCACTGATATAAATGTTACTGCTCAACTAGTATTATTTATAAGAGGTGTTGATGAGAACTTTGAAATTACAGAGGGACTGGCGTGCATGCGTTCTTTAAAAGGAACTAGAACGGGATGTGATATTTTTCGTGAATTTCAGAAATATATGAAATTGCGATTTCAGAAAATTTGAATTTCAGAAATATAATAATAACATATATATGTAATATTATGACTGATGGAGCACCAAATATGACAGGAAAAAAATCTGGGTTTCTTGGACTCTTTAATCAAAACTATCCCGGGAACAATGTTGTTTTCCTACATTGCATTATACATCAAGATGCTCTGTGTAAATCTGAAATTGAATATGAAACCCGTGCTTGATGCCGTCGTGAAGCTTGTAAATACTGTTCGATCTCGTGGGCTTACTCACAGGCAATTTCGAGATTTTCTTCAGTCCGTCCAATGTGAATACTTGATGTACTGTATTACGCGAAAGTAAGGGGGCTTAATGCAAAATATGTTTTCGAGCGAGTTTAGCAGCTGAAAGACAACATTGTGTCGTTCTTCCATGAAAAACAGTGTTCTGCGGAGTATGAAATGTTACTAGATCCAGAATGGATTTCGGACTTTGCATTTTTCACAGATCTTCTTTGTCGTATGAGCAACTTGAATGTCAAGATGCAAGGGAAAAATCAATTTATCGACAATATCTGGGCCTATCTGAAAGCTTTTAAAATAAAACTTAATTTGTTTGCTGGGCAGCTAGCCAAGAGTGACTTGTCTCATTTCCCGAAGTTAAATTCAATTCCCTCAGTAAATGAAGAGAAGCTTAGGAGTTATGAAGATGGCTTGAAAAAAACTGCATTTTAAGTTCGAATGCAGATTTCAATATTTCAGTGCCGTTCAAACAGAATTGGATATTTTTATCGTGCAGTTTAACGTAAACTCTGAAGCAGTGAAGGCAGATTTGCAGCTTGAATTAATTAAGTTGCAATCTAACAATCATCTCAAACAGTTGTTTATAAGTTAGAGTTTTACAAATCATTATCAAAAGTAAGTTTCTCAAATTTAATATGTCACGCCCAGAAAATCAGTGCTATGTTTGCCTCATCTTATACGTGAACAAGTGTTTTCAACTATGAACCGTAGAAAGAATTATTTCAGAAGTAGACTGACAGATGAGCATTTAGCCTCGTTCCTTAGAAAGTACATCTCACTTTGAACATCAGTATAAGGAACTTTTTTAAATGAAATCGCAATTTCATTCATCTCATTAACATGTTTAAATTGTAATTCTTTTATATAGTTTTTAAAATTTTTGAAAAATTTATCTTAGTCCGGCAAATTTTTTTTTTTCAATTTTTGGCCCGCGACCGAAAAAGTTTGCCCATCCCTGCATTAGATTATCAAAATCATGAGCTGGTTGGAGGGCCCTGTCCATAATGCTCCAAATCTTCTAAGTAGGAGAGAGATTTTGGTGAGGTATTTCAGTTGATTAGCAAATCAATCTTTTGGCCCACTGTAACAAAGATGTATCATCATTTTTTTTTGTTATTACTGCATATGAAAATCCTGTAGAATTTTTGCTAGATAGCTTAGTATTGTGGTCGTAGAGTTCTGCTTACATATTGAATGACTGTCTTCAGGTGATATTTTGATGTGAATATAAGTAAAAATTGGTTATCACTCATATTGGTTAAGGAAGATTCTAGTCATCCATTACTTTTCATCTCATTCATTTAACTTACTTCCATACTTTACCAGGAGCAAATTCTTTTATCTTCAAACAAAAGATTTCATTTAGGAATCAGTGTTTCAAATTAATTTTACAAAAGTACATTTCCAGGAAGTATTGTTGCCTGCTAAAATTTTTCTGAATTATATAGACAAGTGACATTATATATTTCAAAATCTAATGCATCTTTAAGGTGGGTGTGTGATTTGTAGTTTGACTTTTAAACTTGTTTCAAGTTTCAAACCTAATTTTCCTCAAATGTTTTGTTCAAATTTCAAGTTGTTCAAACAAAACAATCTCCATTTTTGAATTAAAGCACCATTTGTTAAGAAAGGAATGTATTAGTGGTGAGTAAACATGAAATGTAAAATATTTTCCATATGGCTAAAACCCTTGTATAAAGCCACCCAGTTCTTAAAATGCTGCTTAAAAGAAAAAAAAAAAAAAAAAAAAAAAAAAAAAAACTGCTAGGTCAACAACAACAATATATTATTTGCTTAAAGTTTTTGGTGATGTTATTCAAAAATTATGTTCATTTTTGTTATTATTCACACTGTTTGATGTTATATTGACATTCAGTTCCTGTGTATTATATATATATGCAGTGTTTTTTTTTAAACTTTTATTTTCATTTTTTCTCCCTTCATTTTACAGTTTTTTTGTATCTTCATTGATCCACAACGAAAATATTCGTTCCTTAAAATTTAGCTTTGAAGTATTCTCCTATGGGAGAGCTGGAATCAGTTTCTTCAACTCGTAAGTATTATTAAACTTCTCTAACTAGTGTAATTAATTGGAAAGATACACAGATGCAGTTTTTTTATTAACCCGTAACAGGGGAGGTGAAAAAGTTGAACATAACAGGGGACGTGCAGTCTCGGAGACCGCGCATTATAATAAATTTTTAAAAATTGTCTAATTAAAATATCATCATGATATTTCACTTAGATGTTCTTTGAACATTTTACTCTGAAAAGAAAATATGTTTTTACACTTTAAAGTGAAATTAAAGTTTTTCTCAGAAAATTTCCCCATAGCCTCAAATTTTTCGATGAAAATCATATGCTGCCTGCACTAAATTCTATAAAACTAAAAATAAGAATGCATCTATTTTGAATTAACTATTTTTTATCTATATTACTTAATATTCAAAGCAAATTTTAACCGCAGAAAATTGTATGTAGCACAATACAGAAAAATTTTGACAGTACCTAAAATATCAGTATCTCACTGATTTTTTGATAGTAAATAATTTAGTTTTCGTCTTCTTTAGCATATTCATTGCATAACTTTTGCGTGCATTCCAAACAAACAGGGTCTTGGCAAGATAAACATAAATATACTGTCTTTCTTTTCTTGCTTGGGAGGCACAGATGACATGTTTTCTTGATTTTAATTTTGCTTCTTTTGTGCACTGTTCCACATCCTTAGACTCAGCTTCTTTTCCTAAAATCCGCTTTATCGTCAGACGCAATTCTCGATTTATTCTTGGATTTTCCCCTCTCCATGTGTAGTAATGGTGGTGGTTGGACTAATTCTCTAGCTAATTCTTTCGAAAACACCATTCTGGTCATAACAGGGTTTTGGTTATAACCTTGGTGCAAAATGTATGCGTTTACTGTACTCATATCTACTAACCGGTAGAAAAGAGGCATAGGCCAACGCGTTGTTCTCCTACTACAGGAATGGACAGAACATTTTTCATCTAAAGCATCACCACCACACCTTTGGTTCTGTTATAAAAAAAACCAATTATTTCAGGTTTCTGTGTTTTTGAGTCTGTTTCTATCGAATGATTGCAATGATGACATCAAACCACTGCTCACCTTTTTTTTTTTTTTTTTCGCAGAAATTTTCTTCACAGTCAGCTTCTTCACTAAAATCACTTCCAACTTCGTCTAGAATTTTTTTCAGTTCTTCTGCATAACGTGGATCGGAAGGATAATGAATCTCCGCGGACCTAACTTCAGAGCCATGTGTTTACTACTGCTGAAAAAACTGTAACACTGAGAGGGAGGTGAGGTCTCGCAGGCCGCTCTAGAAGAATTTCAACAGATACACATGCCAAAGCATTCCGAATAAGAAGGGGTCAGAAAGAAGGTCACGAAACGTCAAGCTAGGGGAAGAATCCATTCACTTGGACAAAGCATGCAATAGGGGTGATGGGAGGAACATGTGGCGCGGTCCGTCAGACCGCACGTCCCCTGTTACGGGTTAAGCACTTTTTTAGCTGCATAACCTCAGCAAGGTCTAGTTGCAAATTGTCATCAACTATTATTGCCATTCTTAAAAAATACTCAGAAAAACATTTTGAAAAATTTTCAGTATGACGTAAAATTATGCTATTTCATTTTTCATCAAAAATGGGAATTTTAAATGAACAAGCATATAATACTGTCTCTTTCTTTAAGAATAGGCACTTCAAAGCCATCTCTCCTTTCTGGCTTTAATTGTAACAACGGTAATGGTTATTGTGAAAGATAGTAAGAGTCCTCTAATTTACTAAAATCTGATGATCTCCTTTATATTAACATGATCACATGTGTAAATTGGAAATGAGGGGATGGTTGTTTTGACCATTAAGTGCCTATTTTAAAATAACAGACAGTAAGAACAATTTTAAAATACATATTCTATTATAGTACAGAGTTTGAAATCTGCACGTCCTCTATCCAGACTTCCAAACCATCAGCATCCCCTCAAAAAAAAAAAAAAAAAAAAAAAAAGAGAGAGAGAGAAAGAAAGAATGGAGAATATATTAAAAAGAAGGCATACTATAAAGGCAACTTTTCTTTCGATTAAATGAGATTCCTGCATGTGTCTTTCAAACACTTGCTGGCTAGAAAATAATTCTACAGCAATTGATATTATATATTGGTTGGTGTTGGACATTGCTCTAAAGTGGTTGTGGGGGGTTAGCCTTTTTCTGTCTGACTTAAACAATAAATGAAGCTCTAAGACATATTTCAAAATGATTATGAAAAAGTTGTGATGAAGTGCATTTGCAGCTAGGTTTTGCTATTGACAGGACCAGTGCTGATGGCTCAAACCAAAATATTTCATGAGGAAATGGACTTAAAAAACTGATCTACAGGTCTGTAGGAATCCACTGATCCATGGGAAACACAATTCCACTGAAACTCCTGAACAATTTTCAGATGAATTCATTAATGACAGAAATTTATCTCCAGTGCTGATTTAAGGCTCTTGACACTAGAGTTTTCTGGCAATAACTGCCCCAAAATACCTTGACAAGCTCTGCAGAAAAAGCCCCAACTGGTTTCAAAGCAAGACTCACAATTTTTGCATCTGCAAATGTTACAGGAATATGCAAATATAAATTATTGGTAATAAAAAAATTAGTCAACTTTAGGCATTTAAAGTAGTAAAGATTTTCCCTGCCATCAATCATTTGAATAAAAGAGCATGGATGACACACACCTGATAGTGAATGAATGGTTTGAAAATCATCTCATACCCATGTCTCGGCAACATTTGAAATTGGTTGGTTTACTGAATATTGCCAAAATTTTCCCTTATTATAGATAATTCTTAATTTTTAATTCACAAAATATTACTACCAATAGTGAAGAAAGTGGTTAAAAAGTTGTTGAGACTTAAAAATATCGATTGGCAGTTTCTCAAGTCTGTTGAGTGAAATTCTCTCAGTAGAAATTCTCAACAGGACAGTTATAGGATTTTTAACAATAAAATATTGCAACTGAACAAGAAATTGTTTATCTATAAAATTAAATATAAAGTATTATTAAAAGAGAAAAAGAGACAGCTTAAGCAACATACATTTAAAGAAATGTTTAATAAAACACGCAAATAAATTTTGAGCTTTTTTTGGGGGGGGGGTGTAAATTATTATTTTTTTAAAGTCATAATACTTCAGAAACTATTTCATATTATAAGATTTAAATTGATGATCTAAAATGTGGAAATTTCTGAAATCTGGAATCAAAGACCTTATGATATTCTAGATCTTAGACTTTGTACTGTAGTATATTTTGAATGACAAAATAATATATTTTGAACATTCAAACATATTTAATTCATTGTATGCACATTTGAATGTAAAGTTTGGCTTATTTAAATTTCATAAGTGCAATACATGTTTATATATCAAGATTTTATGTGTAGAATGGTGAAAATAATTTTTATAATTTGTGTCTTTGGATATACAGTGTCTCACAAAAGTGTTCACACACTTTTATGAATTTGTAGGAAAAGCTTTGCAACCCAGAACTGAACTCGAATATAAAACCCAATATTTTTCATATCATCTCTATGTGATTTTCAATAAAGCCAAACTTTTTTATTTTTAATACTAACGTATTTTCTTTTTATAAAATTGAAAATGTAAGAAGGCATAGATAAAACATGCCACAAAAGTGATCATACACCAAAACATTTTCATAAGATTATATAAATTAAAATAATCATCTACCACTTTTTTTTCTTATTTTTGCATTTTGGTGACATTTAAAAAATTGCTTGGCTTTATTTTTTGCTTGCTTACTTCGTTATATTTTATTTAATGTTTAAAAATGGCTCGTAGTCATAAGGAAACAACGAACAGCATTCGAAAATTGATAATTTTTTATCATAAGGATGGAAATTCAGTTCGGGATATTGCTAAATTAGTAAATGTATCCCATTCTATGGTACAGTATGTGATAAAATGCTTTAAAGAAAAAAATAGGATCCAAAATAAAGTAAGAAGAGCTTATCCAGCAAGGAGGACTCAACGTGCCTTAAAGTGATCAGAGATTTATAGTTAGAAAATCTGTAAAAAATCCACATTTGAGTGTTGTAAAGATTTCTACAGAATTTACTGAAAATTTTTCTGCTTCAATTTCACTTAAAACTGTTCAACAAGTACTGCATTACATGGGCACTCTGCTCGAAGAAAATTTTTTGGAAGTGCTAAAAATACAAAGCTTAGGCTTTTCTTCTCAAAATCAGTCATATATAAGCCCAAGGCATATTGTAATCATGTGTTATTTGCAGATAAAAGCAAATTAAACATTTTTGGTTCCGATGGGCGTATAATTTTATGGGGGAAATGAGGAGCTTAATCCCAAGACACTGGTTTGAAAAGTAAAACATAGCAGTGGAGGTGTTCTTGTGTGAGGGTGCATGTTAGCATCAGGATTAAATAAAATGGTATCTATTAGTGGCATAATGAACCATGCTCTATATTTAAATAATTTAAAAGATTTTTTTAAAGATTTTTTAAATTATTCACCCAAAATTTGGATACTGGAAACAACTTTATTTTTATCAGGATCCTAAGTACATGTCCGTCGAGACCCTCTTTTGGTGTGTCTATAATTGTCCGCAAGTTCTGCAAACATCACTTCGGTTGCCAGATTTAACTCTTTGAAATCCAGACCCTTTGCTAAACTGTATGCTTAAAATACCAAACCACCCGAAATACTTTTCCAGTTTCAGAGCAATTTCCTCGCCTCCCCATCCATAAACGCAGAAAATAGGTGTGAAGATTTTGACTGACATCCTTTGTACTTTCTAACAAAGATTCCATTAGCCTTTGACCCCATTCTTTATAAAACTATTCTGAAGGTCAGACCAACAAGCTTTTCTGGCTTTGTTATGATCACGACTTATATTTTGTTTATTTCCGTTATTTTTATAGGAAGGAATAAATAGATTAAAAATAAATATAATCCTTATATTTTTAAACTGCAATTTTATTGCTGTTTAAAGCTTAAAAGCTCCCTGTACCACAAAAGAATCAACAACGAAATGTCACGAGCAAGCAAAAGATAACAAACCTCTTAGAAAAAGCTGTCTGCAGTAAACTGATATACAATGCATTTGGCAAACTGCACCTGCTACTGCATACCTTAGGGGGGGGAGGGAAGAAAACAAGATTATGATCTCTGCCATTTTCAGGCGGTTCTGTTTGTTTCAATGTAGGGCCATGTCGGGCGGATTGGTTGTGAAAGAGTTAAACCCAACAGAACACATTTAGAAAGAATGAGAGGTTAGAGTATGAAAACACAACGTTAAAACAAAAATTGAACTAAAAATGGTAATGATGGAAGAATGAAGAAACATTGATTCAGATATTGCAAAAAAACTGGTGAATTCTATGCCCAAACGTTTGAAAGCTGTCATAAATACTGCAGAATATACTACAAAATACTAACTGGCAGAAATACTGCAATATTTGTGAATACAGATTTCTTTAAAGCATGCAAAGACTTTTGTGAGGTAACTTTTCTATTGATTTTCAAAAAAAAAAAAAAAAAAAAAAAAAAAAAAAAAAAAATGTTCATAAAAATAATCAATGTAGTTTTGCTATGAAAAATTTATACATATTAAAAAATTTCATTCTAAAGTATTAATGTTTATAAATGAATAAAGCATTATTTCACTGAGACTCGTAAGTGTATGAACACTTTTATGAGCCAATGTATATATAGTAAACAAGTCTTATCTTCACTTAACAAGATTTAACAAATTATTTAATGGTATTTTTCAGAAGTTCAGCAGCTTTAAATTGCATTAATTGATTGTCATTTTGTATAATTCTTAGTGTGCTGGCATTTTTTAAAATGGCTATTGTCTTTTGCATTTGAGCTCAGTGGAAAATTAGTCATCAGCTGTTTGTGACTTTTTGGGAGGGAGATGCCAATAAAGTACCATATATATATTATATATAACAAATAAATCAAATCTACGGTACATATATTTCAATTCATTTCTACTTCAATTTATCTCAGAAATCTTAGGAAGATTTCATAAATCAAATCATGCTGATACTTTTACATTTCAGTGACTTAAAATTTTTATTTCAGTTCTTCAGCTAATAGTACATTTTATAAAGTAGGTTTTATATCTTTACAGAAACTATACCATGCAAAATGCTAAAGTGAAAGTTTGTCATTTGTTTTACTTTTTTAAACATCTCATGGTGCTTTTTTGTACAAAATAGGAATTTTAAATATTTCTCAGATAGAATTTTTTGCCGCTTCATTTGCAAGCAGTAATTATTACAGCCTTGTTTCCATATAATCTAATAAAAAAGCACAGTTTACTCTTCAGTGATAAATTTTTTTACCTTTATTAAAGAATGAGTAAACCTTTATGTACTAATAAGTTATGATGGAATATTTATCAATTATTATGGAAAATTATGATTAGAAATTTATGACAGAAAACAAAAATTTTTTAAAATTTAAGAAAGTAAAATGTTAAAATTCATCAAGCAGATATTTTTCAGAAATCAGTTTTTATTTATTAGCAACCACAGTATTATTATTTAAATAATAATATTGTGGTCCTTTGCAAAATTTTATGTTTTGCAATAATAGTGCTTTAGAATATGCGATTTTAGAGAGAATATGCGATTCTAGGACTGTATTGATTCTAAGATGCAATTCTAGTGTAGTGACACTTATGTGAGAAAAAAGTGCATCATAAAATTGAAGGAATGTAGTGATTTCTTTTCTTTTTCCTTTTTGTAAATCTTGAATTTCTGAAAACTATTTCTTAAACCAGTAAACCTTTTGTTACTGTTTAGTTTAAAACAGTTAAAAATTTTAACTTGAAATCTGGAAACTGAAGGACAGTTTGGCAGTTTAAAAAAATTTTCTTGTTACTTTTCCGTTTCACCGGTGCAAATCTCGCCAAGCAGACTTTGTTGGCGACAGCATACAGTATACACATAAAAAATGTTAACAAATGGGAATTTTAAGAATTTTTTTATTTTGAAGGCATAAACATTTTAATACGATTTAAAATTTTGTAAAAAGCCAATAAATAAAGACAATAAATTTATAAAAAGACATTAATTTGAGAATTTACTATGTTTTCATAGTTCAACATCCTGATTCGCCAGTTCGCATCACTTGACCCCAAGTGATCTCATCTCACGTAAACTACGCTACAAAAATTTAATTCTCTCAGTAATTAACTACATTAATTTCAAGTTAAATCTTAATTTGGAATACAAGTTTAAATGCGAGAATTATATCAATTCGTGCGAATAGCTTACTTAGAAATTATGTAAAACTGCAGTGCATTCTCGTTAGAATTTATAAATTTAACCCTTTTATCTTTTCTATGTTTTTGCCTTCGAGTGAGCGGTGTGATTGCATCCTAATTGACTTAATTACCGCGAATGGTCTTAGGGCATAAAATTTAACTATCTTGTAAACATTCTATGTAATTGTATGCCAGTATTGAAAGAAACAATCAATCTGATAAGAAAAGGCTGTGCCTTGTTTTGAAAATGAAGCATAAAAGGTTACCAGTGAAGATATTCTGTTTGGCATCAGTTGTACCATTATTGGCGACTTTATCGTTTGTGCCGGCAAAACGGAAAAGTACCATTTTCTTTAATGAGTTTTTGAAAAAAAATTTCTTTATATTTAAAAATTTTTGCAATTTTATTGATAAACTCTTCTCTGAGACTATTACATTGTTATTCAAAATTGAGTTTGCTTTTTCTTTCAGTATAATTTTTTTTAAGATCTTCTGTTTTGATTTTTTCAGATCCTGTATTTATTGTGATTATGAGAAATTCACGAGGCAAGTTGTTTGTATATATTGCTGTGTTGGGAGTTTTATGTTTCATAGTTTTTCTATTAAGTACTACACATTCTAGTTTGAAAGAAATGGAAGGAATCAATGAGAAATGTCAACAACAGCGAGACTCTCTTTCTGCACAACTTCAAGGTAAATGCATTAAGCCTTTATTTTGAGGGGGGGGTTAAGTGATGTAATTTGCTTCACATATATATTACAGTTATGCAAAATTGTCTGCATTTTGTAAACTTCAAATGCAGTGAAAGGTGTTTCCATCTCCAAGAGAATATTTCATACCAATAACACTCATACTTGAGAGTAGTTGGCATTTATTTTACACTAGAATTATTTTAATCTGCACACCTTGGGATCAGGGCCTGTGCAGATTAGTAGAGAATATAGATACAGAATATAGATGGTACAGGTATAAATCAGTACAGAATATAGATGGATGTCTTTATGATTTTTGTTTATATTTTCTCCTTTCTAATATTTACATTACAATTTTATAATTTGTGCATAAATAATTAAAACTCATACATTAATGTTTCTTTAATAAACAAAATTACAGTGCAAAGTCTTTAATCCGGACTCGTCGAGACTGGTGATTCCGGATTATAGATCATCAATTTAAATCTAGTAAGATGGCATGCAGAAATTATAAAATTAAAAATATGAAACCATAATTTATGAAATAAAGAGCAATTATGATCTAAAAGGTATCAAAATTTACAAACAAAAAAAAAAAAAAAAAAAAAAAATTGAATATTTATTTGTTTACTTTATTAAACATTTCTTTCAATGTAAGTTGCTTCGTTTTATGTTTACTTTCTCTTTAATTCTATAAACAGACATAATTTCTTGTTAAATTACAAAGTTCCGCTGTTCAAGTCCTGTAATTGCTGTGCCGAGAATAACGACTAACTTGTCAATCGAAATTTTTTCGTTTTCACTATCACTTTCCTCTCTGTCATTTTCTTCATGCCTTTATCCATTTTTTGCAGCAATTCCACTTTTTGTTTGATGGACATCGAAACATGCTTTCGCTTTGTAGGTCCTTTGGCAGCTCCAGAATCGGAAACTCTTTTTGACATAATCAAAAGTTCAAGCTCACTTTTTATAAAATTGCTCTAACAGTCTGCAAAAAATAATAAGCCAGATCCAATTAGAAGATTAAGGAACAATGCAATCTGCAACATTAACTGAAACAGATAATTTGATAATTTTAGCATAGCTTATACCGTCCATTATACAATAAACGCGCATGCGTAAACGTATCATGCGCATGCGTAAATGCTATGCATGCACAGAAAGTTTGTAGCTTTGAGGTCCGGATTATGGATGTCTGTATTAAAGACTTTGTACTGTATATATGCATTTGGTAATGTTATAAATGAGTACTGTTTTTCTTTTTATATTTTTCCTTCAAATCTACTTGCTGTCACTATTTCCTGGTGTGTTTGTGAATTTTTTTTTTTTTTAAATTTTGAAAAGCTTAGATATTGTTGCCCTCATGCTAAACCTGAGAGTAAGTTTTGCATCATATCATATATATATCAGACTTGGTATTTGAATTTTCATCAGCTGGGCTTAATGTACTTGAAATAATTTCATCATCAGCTGAATCTTTAGAAGTCATCCAGATTAAAATATTTACTTTTCTTAAATGTTTAGGCAAATGTGAAGTTATTTTTTTGGAAAGTCAAATCAATTTTGCTTTTGCACATAATAATTTACAATTTGAAAAATTTACACATCACTTTCAGTTTAAGTAATGTGTAGGAATAGTCATAAAGTCAGAAGAATTTAGAAACAATTTTTATAAAACCTCATAAATAAAATAATCAGTTTTATTAGATGTGAAGCATAAAAACAAAACTTAAAAGGAAAGGGTGGAAAAACAAAGAAAAGCTTATATTCACTTTGTAAAGTAGAAAGGGCCAATGATACAATACAAATCTGAAGAGAGTCATTAGGATTTTTGATTGCGGGAAATGTGAAAAATAAGCAGTGCCCTCACTGGGACTCGAACCTGGACCTCTCAAATATGTGCTAAGTGTGCTAACCATTACACCACGAAGGCATGCTGGAAAGAGGGAGAAAATATAAAGCAATGCAAGTAAGGAGAAAATGCAGTATTCAGAGAAAAACATAAATGATAGGGACATTTTTTTTGAAGATTGAAAGAACTCTTTTATAAAAATGCTCTGAAATTTTGCTAAACTAAATTTCATATTCATGAATGAAATTTCTTTCTTTAAATTTAAAGCATAAATAAATAAATTTGTTATTTTCAAATACCTCATACTGTTTTCAAACATCCAAGGTTTTCCCTAAAATAAATCCTTATGCAGTACATTCCACAGATGTACACAATTAGCAGTTAGAAATGCTAAAATTGAAATTTTGGATTTATTAAATAAAAATTCTGTAACCATCAGTTTCCTTTTCTTTCTTCGCATTTTGCATACGAGGAAAACCCCAGCAAATTCAATTCTTAAGAATCTATTCCTAATCGCTTTTTGTGTATTGTAAACAAACAATATGCAACAAAAGTTAGCAACATGTTTCAAGTTTGAACTGAGGATCTAAAAAAGAGAAACCATTTAAATTTTTTATGCATATTATCTTATAAGTTCGAAATTAATTTTAAAACACAATGGAAAAGCTGTGGAATATGCAAAGTACAGATTTATGTAAAATGAAAAATTTGCAGAGATTTTCATCCAATTTCTGTATAGTAACAAAAATAGCTCTACTAAATCCAGTTAAAATATATAGCTTCATTCATCTCTGAGTAATAGTACTGAACTGAGTAATGTCAGATACACCGAGGTAAATTATTTCCATGCACCCGAGTAAATATGTTCAAGATTTTTTATTTTTATATATTTTTTAGATGTAAATACTACAGAGTATATACACTGCAGTTTTGAGTTAAAGCAGAGAAATGTGATGAGTTAAAATAAAAAATTTAAAAAAATCCACTTTCTGAATTTTTATTGTCCATTTAAGGGTAAACAAAATAAATTCACTTTTTTTACTGAAGTATTTTAATTCAGTTAAAAAAAAATGTATATATGTATACCAAAAATTGCTGAAAATTTGTTCATTTTGAATGAATAAGTGAAGTTTTGTTTGTTTACATCTAAAAATATTACAGGCATTTCATGATTATCAAGAAATGATGATTTGTGTTCAGCTGTTTAACTAGTTTGTGGATTAACAGTGTTCTGGTGGTATCAGAAATTCATTTACTTTCGTTTGAAAATGATTCAAAATTTAATTTTCAGTAGTCCCTTAATCCCTTTAAGATGGCATGCCATTGTTTAAGATGCTCCCTCGGGACAGAGACAGATGGGAGTAGAAAGGAATCATCCAATAGAACGAAGTTTTTGCATCGTGAAAGCCTATCTTTAGAAAAAGAATTACTAAAAACAAAAATTCTTGCTCTAATGTCATGGTTTTTGGTATCATTTTAGGTTATTATTTAAATTATCCTAGCATTTAATAATCTTTATCCTTTTCATGAATATGGCAGTAAAAACTGGAATATTGTTATTAATAAAGCCAAGTGTAGCAGTTGTACAATTTATAATACACTAAGTACTGTTACAAATTTTATGTATATAAAAATAATTTTAGTGAAATTATATGTAAATTGTAGTATCTCTTGTATAATGTAAAATAAGTCCTCAAGAATGTGAAGCATTACTGAGAATATAGGGTTGCAAGAGTAAGTCCATTTAATTATGGATTAATGGAATATTGTTATTAATAAAGCCAAGTGTAGCAGTTGTACAATTTATAATACACTAAGTACTTTTACAAATTTTATGTATATAAAAATAATTTTAGTGAAATTATATGTAAATTGTAGTATGTCTTGTATAATGTAAAATAAGTCCTCAAGAATGTGAAGCATTACTGAGAATATAGGGTTGCAAGAGTAAGTCCATTTAATATACAGGTAAATGGCTATCTTGCACCAAGCTGGCAAAGGTTTTGGGACTAAGTTTTGTTGAAAAAATTTGGTGACATTTTGGTTTGATGCATATGTAACTGTAACTGCGTATCCTTACAGGCATTTTGAGAAATCAAAGGTACTGGAAATTTCTCAACGAACGAAGGAAAAGTGTAATAAGTCCAAAGAGAACATCAGTTTAGTTAAATTCACAGTTCAGAGTATTGAGAGCTCACTCTACAAGCTTATGCATTTGAGGCTTTTTATAATGTCTTTTGTTTAACACTTTGTAGGAGTTTGAAGAGGTAACTACTAATTGTGCTCTCTCATACTGAGAAGAGCTATGTGAGTATTTGTATGAAAAATTTCAGGGCTGTAAAGTATTTCTTTAGAAAAGTAAATTTTATGAAGCTATCATCGGTTTTGTGTGCATTCAGTTCTGTATGCACATAACAGTAGACGTTTTGAAAGCACATTATTAAAGTAGCAAATGATGACTTTCGATCCATCAAAAAAGACTAAAATGCATATTTTGTAAGTCTTTATTTGTTGACTAATAGAATAATATTTGATTACACCCACCCCCCCGAAGAACAAATATCTTTTAATTGGCTACAAACTTACTTGCTTATTTTAATAATGTGTTTACTTGTAATTTTGCCTGCAAAAATTTTTTCCATTACCCTTGAAGCTATTGATTTTCTTTTTCCTCAAATAAATTTAATTTCTTACAGCTTTATTAACCAAATTTAATTATAGTTTAATATAATTATATATATATATATATATATTACTGTGTATTTTGAGTGCTCCCTTGCCGCACAAACACTATGCGCTTACGAACATCCATGCCTTCTCCAGAATTTGAACCCAGGACTATCGTTATGACAATCAGTGTTACTAATTACAAAATGATACAGAAGGAACTCAACATTGGATCTGCAACTAGACATAAAATTACTCATTAAGATGCACATGAAAAAAGTTAGTTTGTTGTTGGGTCCTTCATAAATTAACAGAACTCTAAAATCCAGAGTATGTCAGAGTCAGTAAAAAAAAACTTAAGCCCAAAATTTCATTTTCGCATTTTTTCTAAAATCATAACTGGTGATGAAAAACACACACCATTTTTTGATATTTTAGCATGTCAAGAATGTAGAGTATGAATCTTTTAAGATGACCCCAGAGTCAATTATGGTGAAAAGACGGCAAATAATTAAAAAAAATAACCGTCTATTTTATTTAGCAATGCAGGGCTGGCCAAAGCCATCAAGTCAGAGAGAGGGCAGAAGACAGAAGTTTAAGTTAGGGGATTCATAATGTGATTATGCGTCTTCTTATTCTGATAGACTGACAGTAAAATTTTTGAAACAGAAACACATCAAAGTGATATAGCATGTACTCAATTCTTCTGATCTAATTATGTGTGATTTTTGGCTATTATTTAATTTAAACAGTATTTGGATGGCTATCTTTTCATTATTAAAATGGGATTGATGAGGTTTTAAAAGCAATTTTTTCATGGATTCTGAGAAATGGATAGCTTGAAGCATTTAATCTTTAGAAAATTCACCTACAAAAATGTATTGATGTTGGAGGGAACTACTTTGGACACTCCCAAGAATTGATAAATTTAGCTTGCACCATTAAGGTGTATCTAAAAAACCTTCGTATATTTCAATATATCTTTTAAATCAATCTTAAAAAAGTGATCTTTGTATATTTCAATATATCTTTTAAATAAATCTAAAAAAAGTGACCTTTGTATATTTCAATATATCTTTTAAATAAGAAGTAATAGCTTATCAGTGTTACCACTTTAGAATATTATATTTTGTATTTTATATTGAGCATATCAGCATTTTGAGCAGTAAAATAGCTAAATTATAAATATTATTTATGTTTCTGTTAAATAAATAACTATATTGAAAATTGATTAATGCAGGTAATTAATAGTTATTCATGTTTCTGTTAAATAACTATTAATTAAAAACTGATTAATGCAGCCAATTAATTAAATTTTTTAATTTATTTTGAAATAGACAAGCATTAAAATTTGGAATGTTTATTTCAAATTAAGGTCAGAATTGTAAGGAAATGTGGTAAAATTGTGTTCATCTTAAGCTTGCATTGCATATTCAAAAATATAACTCAGATGCTAGAAAATCCCCTGTAATATTTTAAAGACATTAATGTATCATTTTTAATATTATTATTCATTTGCTGTGGTTAATGTAATAATTTTTTAACCATCTGAGCATTATAAGTGTGGCTGTAAAATCTCAAAGTTCTCTAAAATGTCATTAATACATGATATTTTCTTGATGATTCCAAAATGAACCTCTCATTTTGTACATTGATTCACTTTCTTCAAGTACACATCAAACCCATAATCGGATGCCTCAAGAGCTGGCAGAAATTTGTGTGTGTAATCAGTTGGAAAGCCATCATTCTGTATAAAATTGAATGTCTATAACTGTTGGAGGGTTAAACAATATATGCAAGAAAAATTGTATTTATATTCTTCCTAATTATGTGTGTAAAAATATGACTTTTCATTTCATACTGAGTCTTATGCCTTTGAAGAAGGCTATGTATTCTCTTTTCTTAAAAAATGATTCATAAGTAATGAAACAATAATAAAATATGTTATATTAATGGAGACTTATTTTAACTGATATGAATGTTGGAAATGTTTGACTATGTTTGAAAATTTAAGTAATTTAAGCACATTTCATTTATATTTTGATAGTTGTGTATGAACATAAAAACAGACTAGAGAAATCTCTTCAACAAGAGAAGACTGATCACAGGCATACAAAAGAGAGTAAGTTTTGTGTAATTTATTTATTCATTTTTTAGTGCCATGATAATTGTTTTTGTTGCTATTGCAGTATGTGAAAAGTTGTTTATGGAAATCATTTTACATCTTAGAAATGCAAACACTATTATGTAAATTAAGATTAATAATGTGAAAAGGAATTCATTGAGCAGTTTGATTTTGTTTATTGATTTTTTTGTTTAATTTTTTTTTTATTATGAATTTCTCTTTTGCATATTTCTTAACAGTTGCATTTCAGTTGAAAGCAAAATTGTTGGGTGCTAGTATCATTTACAAAGCATTTGTAATTATATTGCAACATAAAATAAATTGCATGTTTTTTAACTGAAAAACACAATAATAACTGAAATAATTTTGTACTTTAATTCATAATATTGGAAGTAGAAAATAAAAAATGTTCAGTTTGTTTGCAGATATAATTTTTTCCTAAAATATTAAAAATTACACATGAACTCAATTGAAGTATTGTACATAGAATTTAACTGGTTAGATTTTATTTTAATAATTTGGGAAATGGAGAATATATTTTTATTACGTCATTTTCTTCCATGCCCTGCATGTTTAATAGAAGCATTTGTAGCTTCAATGAATATATAATCATTTAGTTATGTAAGGTTAAAGTATTGCATTCTTAAAAATTAGTTTTAAAGTATTTAAATTTATTTTCTTGGTGAATTGTATTTGTGAATGAACAGTTTTAAAGGGTTAACTAATTAGATGTCTAAATGAATGAAAAACTAATTACAACTGTAGGATGGTGTTGTGTGTTGCTCTTTTCCAAGCTAACATGCATTTCATTGACATCCAGTAACAATCTGTGTGTCACTATTTGTTTCTGTTTGCAAATACCATATTTGACGGCATATAAGACGCACTGGCATATAAGATGCACCCTTATTTAGACGGCCACACCTAAGGAAAAAAGTTTCAATAGCATGGTTTCTTTAAGTTCTCACGTTTCGTAAAAGCCAAATAAACAATTATTGAATGCAATTAATTACCTTCACCTATAAGACGCAGGTAACTTTTTTGAAACCAAATTTAGGAAAAAAAGTGCGTCTTATATGCCGTCAAATACGCTAATTGCTTGTTTTGTACAAAAAGTATTGAGTATGGTTTTATATACTCAAGTTCAATTTAAATAAAACCTTTTATTTGTCATTAAGTAGAACTTCCTTTTAAGTAAATGAATAATAAGTGCTAATTAGACATCTTCAACAATGGTCATAACATTATGTATATTATTTCAAGTTACTTTTATTACTATAATGAACTTTAAATGTTACTGTGGTCAAAAGCAGTGAAACAGGAATAATTCAACATACAAAATGACAATGTCGTTATTTTTTCCCTGGCTGGTATGATTTCTATTGATATCTTGTGAGACTGTCAACAGTCAGCATCATTCTCTGTTTGCAAATAAATGTTTGTTTTGAGTGTAAAGAATTTCTTATTTGGCAGTTTTTTCTAAATATGAAATGTAATCAAGCAAAGAGTGTGCATTCAATTTTTTTTTTTAATGGATTTGTTGCTACTAAAATTTGGAAATATTCACAATGACTGTAGTGGTGGTACTCATAAAAACAAGAGTTTTAGAATGGTGTCAGATGTTCAAGTAAGGCAGAGAATGCCTTAAAGATGTTCTGCACTCTGATAGACATCCTCTTCAACTCTTGAGCAGCACATTACTCAAGTAAGAGATTAGGGATTTAGTGAATATTGTGCAGTTATGAGCAGTGTTGTATATTTTGTAATATCTGGAGCTTACCAAGCAACATTCAGCTATTATTATTATTTTGCCATTTTTTACTTCAATAATGCACTTAGTTATGGTGCTGTTGCTTTTGAGTATGATAATATGAAAACAACTCAGTTTTCTTTAGATAATCCTCCATGAAGGAACCTCTGCCATAAGCATATATCCCTCCTGTATGCAGATATCCTTCTAATACAGTCAAAAGTCGTTAATTCGGACACCCATAATCCGGAATGATCTATAATCCGGACCTCAAAGCTACAAACTTTCTGCGCATGCGTCGCATTGACGCATGACATCGCATTGACGCATTGATACATTGCATTGACGCATGCGCGTAAGACCTTTATGGCTGCGAATGTGTGTGTGCGCGTGCGCAAAATACGTTTATGAATACGCGTTTAATGTATAACGAATGGTATAAGCTAAGCTAAAATTCTCTAATTCAGTTAATGTTGCAGATTGTGTTGTTCCTTAATCTTCGAATTGGATTCGGCTTATTCTTTTTTGCAGATTGTTAGAGCAAATTTATAAAAGTAAGCTTGAACTTTCAATTATGTCAAATAGAATTTCTGATATATATTTACTAATATGTAAAGGATCTACAAAGTGAAAGTATGTTTCGAAGTCGATTAAACAAACAGTGGAATTCCTGCAAAAAATGGATAAATGCATATCCTTTGTTTATCTAAACTTTAACGTTTGTTTATCTAAACTTTGTTTATCTTTAACACTGCAGCGTGCAATGAATTGGAAGTTGATCTGTCAGCACTATCCTTATCTTCAGGGCAGATGTTTTTATTTTATTTGGCTTATAATTCCTTACTAAATGTAGTATTTCATCTCGATGTACTCCGTCATTAATATGATTTAAATCAAATTCCTCATCATTATAATTCGCTTTCGATAGTGAAGAAAGTGGTAGAGGTTATTGAAAACGAAAAAATTGCGATTTACAAATTAGTCGGTATTCTCGACACAGCAATTGAGTTGAACAGTGGAACTTTGTAACTAAACAAGAAATTATGTCTGTTTAATAGAATTAAAGACAAAGTATTATCACATGAAACGGAGCAACTTAACTTACATTGAAAGAAATGTTTAGTAAACAAATAAATATTAAGCTTTTTCTTTTTGTAAATTTTGATACCCTTTAGATCATAATTGTTCTTTATTTCATAAATTACGGTTTCATATTTTTAATTTTATAATTTCTGCATGGCATCTTACCAGATTTAAACTGATGATCTATAATCCGGAAAAATCGATAATCCGGAATCGCCAAAGTCCCGACAAGTCCGGATTAACAACTTTTGACTGTATATGCCTATTCAGATAACCTAATTTTGTTTGTAAATCTTTGATCCAAACTCAACAAATGGGGTATCCTAAGCTTGTAATTCACCTGATGTGGCATCTTGTGACTTTTTCCTGTTTCTTCAGCTGAAGTTACTACTTCATAGTTGCTATTGCAAGCTGATGGATACCATGAAGAAAATTTCATTTCAAGTTCTGTAGGATTCTCATGAAAATGACTTTCAAGCAAATGTCGAGCATGGAAAAAAGGGTGACAGAAATGCATTACAATAGGTGGGGTTTACTTGCCAAGTGGATAAAATAAATTTTGTTGAATAAATTCAAATGTTGTATTTTACTGAGTCATTTTCAATAATTTTTGACTATAGTAATAGATAAAAAAAAATTTTTTTGAAAGCCGATTTTATGACACTGCTGAACATTAGTGATTTGTCATGTTGCACCTTGCATTTTCATAGAATCATGTGAATAATGTTTTCATAGAATCATATGAATAATGCAGAGTGCTGTTAACATTGTTTGAAAAATAATGCTGTGCTGATAAGTTTTTGAGAATTTTAAGCAAAAATGATTGTTTTGTCTGATGATGCTTTTTATTTCTGCTCATAGCAAGAATTGTTTAGCATAGTGACAGTGAAGGGAAGTTAAACGTTATTTATATTCCCTCAGCCATGAGCCCATATATCTCATCCTTTCCTGAAATTGTGAGAAATACTGAAAGGAAAGTACTTTGCAAAAAAGATGAAATTCTATGGAGTGTTGGAATCATTAAAAAGTGTTCTACTGGCACAATCCAATACTTCCGAAAGCTGAAAAACCTCTACGATCAAAAGAGGAAATTGTATTGAAGAGAACATAAGCTTATTTTTTCTGGGGATTAATAATTTTAGGTATATACATACAGATTGTCCAGCAAAGGAGTCCAATTTCAAAATGAAGAATCTTGAAAGCAAAGATTGATAGAGGAATACAACAAGTGGTATTTTTGTGAAAGCTGTAAGATTGTTATGTAGGAGTTTCAATGTAATAGTTACAGAAGTTGCCAACAGATGGCACTGTATGCTGGCACCTGGTGACTTTGGATTTTGATTGTAAACATATTAAGGCTATTTCTCAGTGTTTTCTACATACCGGAGTGCTTCAAACCAGTCTATGCTGCAATTCTTCGTACAGGCGTGGATTTTGATGAATTAATTTCAGAAACAGTTGTGATAGTTTTAGGAGTAACTACAGTTTACCTGCGACCAAAACTCCTACCAAAATCATTGGCCTTGCTGCCTCTATGTTGGACATTTAATGAACAAGTTGTCAATGGTTTTCACATTGGGTCCTTTGAGAACATTCAGTCTTGTTTGAAAACTATGTCTTGCTGCTATAGAACTATGGTCTAATTTCTGTCTGCTACCAGAAACACATGCTGTTCAGTGGAATACATAATTTCAACATAATTCATAATTTTTTCTATAGTAATAGGTATTATGTATTTATTATAAAATTTTTATTAAACTGAAATAAACTTTTGTTTGTATACTTATTTCACATTTTTCAGCAAATGAGAAGCAACTTAATGAGTTAGAAATAAAACTACAGGAAATGAAGGTATTTTTTCTTCTCTTTTATATAATTAACATTTTACTATGTATTACATGTGAATGTCAATTAATTTGAATGTACTGATTTCAATTTTTGATTCAGTTTCAGAATAGAATACAAGTTTTTTCCTAATGGGCAAAACAGAATTTTCTTTTAAAAATCCTCTCCCCCAATGTCAGTTTTTGCCCATGCATAAAAATTCTAACTTGTTTTGTTCTTCTGTTGTTTAGTTGTGTTTTGAAATACTATTTGAACTCTGAGTATTTTCTGATCACAAACATCTGTCAGACAGTTTCCACTCACAGATAATTAAATTATTTTATTCATTAACTTCTGCTTAATGAAAAATCAAATATGGTAGAAATATTTTAACAGCCTGTTTGTTTAATGTATATACTTTTAGTAGGTGTAAGAAACATTTTTTAAATCTGAAATATATAATTTATTAGGACCTTTATAATTATGCTGATATATTCATTTATTTATAATTATGCTAATATATTTGTGTATATATAATTGTGCTAATATATTATAATTTGACATTGCTTGCAAATGAGTTAACATATTTTTGTATAAACTGAAAAAAGTAGCATACAATTGAATATGAATAATGAGGAAAAGATAAAAATTCTTTTTCTAAAAATTTACTAACCATTATTTTACTGAAAATCAAAGTACTGAAATAAGAGGTTATAAAGATTTAAATGCAAAATGTTTTGAATTACTACATTAGTAAAAAAACCACTTTTTATATTTCAAACATTTTTTACTGATCAGGAATGTGGAATAAGGAAAAACTATTATTTAAAGCTATTTCATATTTTATCTGTATATTAATTTAAATTTTTTACCTTTTTAAAAGTAAAATTCCTTTTTATTATTTGACCATTATAATTTTAGTCTATTTAAAAACTGAATTTTTCTTCATATATTTTAAACTTAAAAAGAAAATTAATAAATCTAGAGCTCATTACCTGTTACAAGTTAATCAGGATTTCAATACTGGGATTCTATTTATCTGGAAAATCATGAAAATTGAAGTAAATGAAAAATGTTTTGCAAAAATGTGAACTTTTTCTTAAAAAACTAATGAAGATTTTAAAAAAAGGAAGAAGTACAGACAGATCTTCTCAAATAATAAAAAGAGTAAACAAACATTGCTCCTTTTAAAAAGCAAGTGAATGAAAAATTACTGTAATCTTTCATTTCTTTCTAAGCAGTATTTAACCAGTCACACATTGTTTGGGTCTACGTTATAATAACTTAACCATTTTTTTTTTTTTTTTTACCTATGCATTTTTCATTTTTCCATTTTATTTTAAAACCTTATATGAGCTGTAGTTAATATAAATAGAAATGCTGCTATACATTTGTTTGCAGAATGAATAGTTTTTTTCTGGTTTTAATATTTCTTTTAAAATATTTTACCTCATTTGATTTTTAATCTATATTACCTTATGCATGTATGTTTCATTTGCTTCTCAATAATAATGATGTAACTTCGATTTAAGTGTTTGTTATTATTTCACTGCATATTTTAGAAAATGCATAAAATTATTTAGTTAGTCATGCTTGATTTATGTGTAATTAATGAAATTACTTTGATGAAGGAAATTGGAGAAAGTCAGGTATATTAAGCAGTCAGTCATAAATTATTGTTCCTGATCTGAAACTGTAAATTAGAAACCTAACTTGCTTGATGGGCCTCATCTTATTTTTTTCTGAAGAAAATGATTCTGTTATATTGCAAAAAATATCTGGATTTTTGTGCTTTGAATTGTGGATGTCATTGCCAACTCATCAAGTGTCTGCATCTCAAGCACAAATTTCCTTGATTGAAAAAGACAATGTTTTCAGCTCAAGAAGCAAATTTTAAACAATTTAGAGTACCAAAAAAGTCTAGTCTTCATCATTTTTTATCTCAAAAAACCATTAAAATATTAGTAGATTCAGGTAGCTAATTAGGTTATTATTACTGTTATTATTTGAGATAGTTGAGAGTGATTAAACGTAACAAGTGGCAATACAGTGTAGTAAATACTGAGAAGTTGAAATGGGTTCTAATGCAGTAAGCATCTGAATGAAAATAAATATAGGCCTAACTGAGGAACTTACAAGCCACTGAAACAGAAAAAATTCTTGTACAAGGTGTGACACAAAAAAACGAGACTGGTCTAATAAATCATTGTACATACAGAATTAGTTCTCCATGACATTATCACCCTCAAAGTAGTGCCCTTCAGCATTCACACACTTCTGCATTTGGTGCTGCCATTGCTGGTAACAGTTCTGGAACGAGGTTTTTTGAAAGCCCTTCAGGAGATTCTCCGTTTTTGCCTGAACCTCTTCAATGGCTTCCTTTTAAGCAAGATTTAACTTTAGGAAATAAAAAAAAAAAGTCCCAGGGAGCTAAATCAGCTGAATAAGGAGGATGCCCCATCACAGTAATGTTTTTGGTGGTCAGAAACTGCTTTACACATAGGGCTTTTTGAATGGGTGCAATGTCCTGGTGCAACAGCCATCCGTCACTTCATAACTGTGGCCTTTTTTTTTTTTTCCTAATTTTTTTTTCCACATAGCCTTTTTAGAACTTCAGTGTAGTAGTATTGATTAACAGTCTGACTAACTGGGATCTCATTCAATCATGATGAACTTTCCCCCTGAAAAACCACTTATGCCATTCAAACACACGTGCATGAGACAAAGTTTCGTCTCCATAATCCTCAGTTAACATTTGGAATGTTTCCTCCGTGGCTGATTTCTTAAGTTTCACAAGAAACTTGATGTTGATTCGCTGTTCAGTTTTTACATTAGACATTTTCCTGGCAGAATGCAGTTGCACATGTTCACTCAATGACGCATTACTCCCCACTGGCATTTTCGGTTAAGTCGAAACTGGCCACATGGATAGAGGAGGTGTGTGGCATGATGTCGCCAAAACAGTTGTTGCCAATTCTGTTTTCAAGCTATACACTTAGTCTCGTTATTTTTGTGTCACATCTCGTATTTAATATGTGGATCCTCGTAAAAGCTGTTTGATATGTGAAACGAAGAGAATATTCCTAGGGAGGATAAATGAATACAGTTATTTTCTAAAATGAGAGAAAGATTTCTTATACTTTCAAAATTTTTGTAATACTGTAGAATTCATTCCTTATCTTCCAACATATTATTGAATCTGTTGAAAATGTATTTCCTGTATGTGCTCAAAGATAACTTGGTTGCGCTAGTTGCGAGACAGAACTGTGTCATCACAAATTTTTCTGTGTGACAAATTTATGAGAGAAATATTCATCCTGATGAAATACTGTCCACCTCTGATGTACTCTTTTATATAGTTTCTGTTACTGAAAAATAATTAGTTTAGCATGTTTAAAATAATTAGTTTAGCGTGTTTTGTTATCCTTTTTTCTTTCCCTCCTCTTTTTTGTGTATAATTAACCAATTTATGCTGTCATTATATCCTGTTTTTATTTTATGGAAATATGGTCAGCCTGATCTTTGGCCTTGGAATGTGTTTTGTGGAATCTTCCAAAATATTGCTAATCCAGTAGGGAGCAATAGCCCATATCTCCAGATCTTCTTAAGCTATTTTTACAATTGCAATATCTATTTGCCAGAGTTACCAGTACAATAAAATATTTATAATACAAGCAAGTAACCACAAATTAAAAATTACATAAATAATAAATAATATAAAAATACCATAATGCTAAATTAATAAATGAATACAGACCCATTAATTCTAAATAAATATTGTTGTGTGCGTACGGGTTCGTTATGAAATGAATGCACAAGTCCGATGAAAAATGAACAAAAATTTATTATTATCACAACAAAAATGCTTAAATTTTCTCAAATTATCATGCAGTATTACAATATCTCACAGTAGTTATCTTTTAACTACTCAAATATCCAATAGAACGTAATTCAAAACAGCTAAAGAACGCTAATCCGCGAATTCGCTACAATCAACAAGAGCAGTTTTCTAAACAACAACAAACTAAGCAAGCAACAACTACAAACTGAGATGTTTTCCTCCTTTTATAAGATTTTAAAATCACGCGCTAGAATTTTCCAGTACTTTCTCGAAATCAAAAAGAGATATTTATTTATTTAACGCACGCGCTCTTGTATTTTTAATTTTTCCGGCTTAGCTTTCTTTTAATATTCGTCACGCGCTGCACTGCGCGAGAAATAAAACCATTTAATTTATAATTGAACTAACATTAGCTTTTTAAGTAGCAAATTCGTAACACTGCCCTCTTCCCAAGGACTGCACGTCCCGGGCAGTACAATCCCTGGACAGGAAGCTAAACTTACAACTGTGGCATAAATGCATTAATAAGAATTACATTACAATATTAAACAACATGAACAATAAATGCAATAAATAAAACAAATCAAATGCTATCAAATACAAATCAAACACTAAATGCAAATCAAATACTAAATACAAATCAAATCAAAATACATTTAAAAACAAAATGGACCATGGTCTTATACTTTTTACAATTATTTACATTATGTACTATGGCCATAGTAATGAGCTAACCTGTCGTAAGAGTTCGAAGACTCACGGATCCGAACCATGACGTCATTTAGCCTGTTTAGGATTGTGTGCGAACCATCCCAAGGTGACTGTAAATCAGGCCTGACTCCTTTTCGTCGAATCGGGTTCCACAACCACACCTTGTCTCCTTCATTGGATCTATGTCCAGCAGCTCTCGTGTTGTATCTGGTCTTCACTTTCTCCGTCGCCAAGTTCACTCGCTTTCGTGCGGAACGGTGCATCACTTCAAAACGGGCCTTGACATCTTGGATGTGTTCCTCAGGCGATGAAGGCGCATCCGTACAGCGATGAAACAGGCAGTCACAAGGCAGACGAAGGTCTCGACTGAAGAGCATCTGAGATGGAGAATAGCTGGTAGTCTGGTGTTTCTTTTCGACCCTAACATGATTTCGGCTGTTTCTCGAGCTGGTTCTTTCGGACAAAGCGTCGGCATTCCCAGGTGAGGATCCCTTCTTAGGATGGATAGTCATGTCTTTAGATCCTGAAAGCAGTTTGTTGTTTTTCAAGTCTAAGGAAAAATTGTATTTCCTTAAAAAGTCCAATCCGAGTATGCATGGATCTGTAATATCTGCCACATATGCCGTGTGATGGTAGGCGGCACTTCCAAACGTGATGTTTACGTTTAACTTCCCAGTTATGTCGATCTTGTCACCAGACACAGTCTGAAGGGTAACACAGGATGGCGTCCAAATAAGTTTTATCTTTAAACTGTTCAGCTAAATCTTTCCTAATGATGGTAACATTAGCTCCTGTGTCAATGATCATACTGCAAGGAACTCCATCGATATTCCCATTGATGGACAGTCCGTTATTGTTGCCACTCACTGTATAAATTTTAAGAGCTTTAAAACAAGGTTTTTCACTATCTGGCAACCTCTGTTCCTCGATATGGTCACTAATTTGTCTACTGCGTTGTTGCTGGGAAATGGTCTTATTTTCCGTACCTCGGGGTGTTCTGCAGTTTCTTCGTATGTGGCCTTCAACTCCGCAGTTCCAGCACTTTAGAATTAGTTTCTTTTCACTTCTGTTCCGTCTCAAGCCACTGACTTGTCTGGTAAAATCATCTGTTTTATTTTCTTTATATTTTATTTTCCATTCTGTATTATTATTCCTGGGGTGTTCTGCAATTCCGTCTTAGGTGACCTTCACTACCACATCTCCAACACCTTAGAGCCACTTTCTTCTCGCTCCTACTCCGTATCAAATCTTCGACTTGTCTGGCTAAATCATCTAAACGAGCCATCAGTTGATCCACTGGCTCATGGACTCGCACAGCTCTAACTGGGTAGCGCGATCTCTACTAGTTGCTTGCTGGGCTGCCTCGAACTTCATGGCGTACAACAGAGCGCTTTTTATGTCCTTTACATCTGCCATTCGAAGAGCTTTCTGTATTTCAGTATCTCGGATGCCGTCGATAAAGTATTGTATTGCAAGGACAGGATTTCCCTTGTTTCTGTCGGGCATTCCGAAAAGGCGAGATGGGACAGCCTTTCAACATCCGCGGCGAGCTCCTGAAGTGTTTCGGTAGGCTTCTGTTGACGAGATTTTAATTGGAGCCTGCTGTAGTCTTTTAAACATTTCTCGCCGAAGCGCAGCTCCAAAGCGCCAGATAGAGCTTCAAAATCTAGGCTTTGATTTTCGGGAAGCGTCTGCAGGATATCCGCTGCGTCTGCTCTCAGAGAAGCGGCGAGATGACAGGCCTTAGCTTGGGAATCTCACCCATTCGCATCCACAATGATAGAAAATTGTGTCCTATACACCTGCCAGGAGGTCTTCCCATCATATGTAGATAGTTTCAGAACGGAACGAGCAGGCATCGATAAAAATTTGAAACCTTCAGAATTGTTTCCTACCGTCGCTATGCACTTCTTTAGGCTGTCAACTTCTTTGGCGACGGCAGCAGAAACCCTATCATCAATTTGTTGTTTGACGGCAGAAACTCTCTCTTCTATATGTCCAACTTTAGTTTCAACCGCGTCTATTCTGCCTTCCATAGCCTCAAATTTATTTTCTATTATGCAGGTAATTTCTCTTTTCATTTCGTCCTGACCTGCTTTCATCTCATTTTTAAGAGATTTCATCTCTTCCTTAACGGATTCCTGGCCCAATTTCATTTCTCCTTTGAGGGATTCCTGGCCCAATTTCATTTCTTCTTTAACGGACCTTTGACCAGCATCCATTTTCTCTTTAATTTCTTCTTTAAAAGATGCTTGGCCAGCTTCCATCTTTTCTTGGAAAGCAGCAAAAGCAGTAATGAGCTGTCTCAATTGTTCTTCCATCCCTCTTGTTATTGGCATTCAAACCCCACTCCTGACACCAAAAATTGTTGCGTGCGTACGGGTTCATTATGAAATGAATGCACAAGTCCGATGAAAAATGAACAAAAATTTATTATTATCACAACAAAAATGCTTAAATTTTCTCAAATTATCATGCAGTATTACAATATCTCACAGTAGTTATCTTTTAACTACTCAAATATCCAATAGAACGTAATTCAAAACAGCTAAAGAACGCTAATCCGCGAATTCGCTACAATCAACAAGAGCAGTTTTCTAAACAACAACAAACTAAGCAAGCAACAACTACAAACTGAGATGTTTTCCTCCTTTTATAAGATTTTAAAATCACGCGCTAGAATTTTCCAGTACTTTCTCGAAATCAAAAAGAGATATTTATTTATTTAACGCACGCGCTCTTGTATTTTTAATTTTTCCGGCTTAGCTTTCTTTTAATATTCGTCACGCGCTGCACTGTGCGAGAAATAAAACCATTTAATTTATAATTGAACTAACATTAGCTTTTTAAATAGCAAATTCGTAACAATATGGTGGAACCTCAGCTTATGAATGCCTCTTTTCCCAAACAAATAGGTTTTCAAACAAATTATCTGAACAAAACATATCTGGTGATAAGCTGTGTTTTCAGTTTTGACATTCAAGTGGGCAGCAAATAATTTTCAGAAGTGTTTTGAAGTAACTTCTGACACAAAATTAATGCTCAGGGATTTCTAGAAGTATCATTTTAATAGTTCTCCCTTTTTTTTTTCTTTTAACTCCATTAAACAAAGCCTGGCAGCAAGTGTAATCGGAATGAAAATGTCTGTGGATATGATCATGGATTCATCCCATACGAAATTATGGCTAGATTATATTACAGGCAGAGATTTTAAGGGCTTTGACACAGAGGATTTTTTTTTTTTGTTGTTGTTGCTATCTTGTTATATGTGTAGGTAAAGCCATGAAGTTGGAAGTTAACAATAAAGACAAGCTGTTAATGATCACGCAAATTTTCTCAACAAGAACTGGAACAGTTTCAGAAATAGCAACAAGAGGTAACTGTGAAAGAATTGCCTTCAGAGGATGAGGAAGGAAGGAGAAATGGTCTCAGTTCTTTGATCTGCAAAATATGTGCAAAATACAATTCATGTAACATTATTATCTTTATTGAACTTTAAGCATTTTCAGTGACATTGCTATGCCTTACTTCAGAAACATTTTGGAATGTAGACAACAACAAATCATATTGTGCAAGATATCTATGGAATTTTCCTTCAGATTAATTTTTTGGGGGTGATTTTCCTTTTTCATTATATCCATCCTACTTTTTCAGCATTTTGTATATCTTTTGGAAAATTCTTCTCTCCCAATGCAAAGGATGATTATATTATTTTCACTGTTTATGGCTTGTGAGAGACTATGAAAAGTACACTGACCACAAATTGCTTTCATTGTAGTGCAGCATTGTGTAATGTTCAAAAGTAGGCTTAAAAAGTATTGTCAAAATTATAGTTTACTATAGCTTATCAATTATAGCATATAACTATCCAAAAATAAGAAACTGTAAATGATTGATTTTAAGATTATAATAAAATTTATTTGTAATTAAAAATATTTAATCATGACATTTTTATATATCGGAATTTAATATCCATATCCTTGGCCTTCTTTTGGGAGGGGGGACTGAAATGGTGATAGCTCCTCTCTAAAATTCTCCTCTCCCAATGCAAAGGATGATTATATTATTTTCACTGTTTATGGCTTGTGAGAGACTATGAAAAGTACACTGACCACAAATTGCTTTCATTGTAGTGTAGCATTGTGTAATGTTCAAAATTAGGCTTAAAAAGTATTGTCAAAATTATAGTTTACTATAGCTTATCAATTATAGCATATAACTATCCAAAAATAAGAAACTGTAAATGATTGATTTTAAGATTATAATAAAATTTATTTGTAATTAAAAATATTTAATCATGACATTTTTATATATCGGAATTTAATATCCATATCCTTGGCCTTCTTTTGGGAGGGGGGACTGAAATGGTGATAGCTATTTAAATTAATTAAAAAAAATTTTTCATGTAGCATTATCTTCGAAATTGTTTATTAATTGATGATATCTCTGGTTTTTCTGTGTTTATTAAGAGGATTGTAAAATGAAATTCTTGATTATGCACTCAATTACACGAAAATGATCCATTAAGGAATTTTGCTTGAAAAGTTTTTGTAGTCTATTTCAAGACTGTCATTCTCAGCATATAGTATTAATGATCCTATTAGATTTTAAAAATTTTTCTCATTTTTGATTTCATGAAAATTATATTTTTATTAATTACATGTTTCATAATATTCAAAATCATAATTTGCATGTTTGTTATAATTTGTTCTAAAAATAATTTTTAGGATAAAGGGCAGAAATTAGAAACTGAAATTACTCACTTAAAGACTACATATTCTGAATTAGAAGAAGATAAAACTCAAATTGAAAATGCTTTAAAAGAACAAATGAAGACTCTACAATCCCAGAAAAATTTAGAAATTGAGAAACTGCAAGGTATTTATATTAATTGTGAAGTAGAAATAAACAGTGAAATACCTTTTTATTGGAGGGGGGGTTGCACAGTATTCTCTTTATAAATGTTTTACTAGATTTTATAATATGTATGGAATGTGTAAATAATTCACTTTTAAAAACATTTAAGTATACATTCATAATTTTAATTTTTATAGTGTGTTTTTATTTTAAATACTTTTAGAATTTTTCAATATTTAATTTAATCATAGTTTTTCTAGATTTTAGATATTTTTAAATCATGCATATTTTTTAATGATCTTTTCTTTAAAAAATAAAACTGAAATAACATGCTGTGACAAAAAATAGTGAAAATTTAACAAAAGTGCTATAACTTCTTTTGTAGTAATATTGTAAAATTTAGTATTAGCAATAGTATTTCTGGAAGGCTATTGTGCTAAATCATGAGATATCATTAAATGTGTTGAGAGTTCTTGCACACTATTGTGGCAATTTGAAGTTTGTTTTTCAATTAAATTGCCTCTTGCACACTATTGTGATGTAATTGCCTAGCACATTCTGCTAGCAATTTGAAATTTGTTTTTAAATTAAATGGCTATGTACGTGCTTGCTAAATGTTGATTTGAAATGAGTGAACCAGTCAATCATTAGCATCTCATCATGGAGAATATTACTGAGGGTACACCAGAAAAGGTAACTAATATTGCATTTGCAGGGAAAGAGGATGAAAATTGCTTACATCCTTCCCTTCTTCGGAATTCGAACCTATGTCAAACTCTTTGGCAGCCAGTTCCACTGATCACTATACCGATCAAAGAGGTGCTATTGAAATATCCATGGTTCAAATTCTGATAAGCGGACAGTTGATTTTTTATCTTTCCTGCTTTTGAAAATTTAATAGTGTCCATGTCATTGAAAGCAAAATATGGTGATGCTCTTCTGTACAATCTGGGTTTTACCGACTGAGTCTCAAGCCATAGCCATGGGAAGCCCTCTTAGCACTATCCTTCCTGATATGCATTAATATGCATCCAAATTTTTTAAAATTTTAATGTTTCCTGTGTGATTTGGCTACACTGATGATACCTCTAATTTGTTTGACAGTAATAAAAGTGATTTAAGTAAAGTTCTTTCAGTAATGAATTCCATTGATCCTGCTATTCAGTTCGCTTTTGAACTTGAGATATCCTGTTCCCTTCCATTCCTCAATATTTTAGTCAGACACAACATATCCAACTTCAGTATTATCGTATACCTTCATCTTTTTGCTTTCTGTATTTCAAATCATGCTATTTGACTAAATAGAAGTTAGCTTTATTTTATACCTTTGCTTTTTGAGCACTCGAGGTTTGCACCTCCAAGCAGGCTAAACTACTGTTACGGATTTTTGTAGATATGTAAACAATTTTAGTGAAGTTTAAAATTGTAGTATTTTTTGTATAACATAACATGAAATGCCTAAAAAAGGAAAGCTCTGCTGGAAAAATAAGGGACAAGTCTATTTAACATCGAGGTAAATGGCTATATTGTTAACATTCAAGATGTTAACCAATTGCTAGACAGGAAGAAGTAGGAAAACTTCTGAAAAGATATGCAAGAAAGAGATATCATCAAACCTTCAGCAAGTTAATGGGCCTCTCCCATCATCCTGGTCTGAAAGAAAGATGGTTCAACTAGATTTTTGTGTTGACTATTACCAGTTGAACGAGAGTACGAAGAAAGGCAGCTACCCTCATCCTAGAATTGACAACATTCTAGACACTCTTTCTGGAAGGAAATGTTTTTTGATGCTTGATTTAAAGAAATGATATTGACAGGTAAAGATACATCTTGATGACTGAGAAAAGACAGCATTTACTACCAGACAGAGAATTTGGCAGTTCAAGGTGATGCCATTTGGATTATGTGATGCAGGGCAACATTTGAACACCTTATGATCTTTCCTATGAAGCATGTTTGATATGCCTGGACATGACATCATCATCAGAAAAGTTTTAACAGCACTTAGAAAATAAGGTGCTTCTGAAATTGAAGGAAGCCAATCTAAGTCCAGTCAGAAGTAAGTTGTTCCGATAGGAAGTGACTAAGACATGCCATCTGTGCTGAAGGTGTGTCTGTGGATCCAGGAAAGTGTCAGCAATTAAAGATTGGAAACATCCCAAAAATGTCTATTAGTTGAGAATTTTCGTAGGGCTTTGCACCTAGTGTAGGAGATTTGTAAAGGGCTTTTCATTGCAAGACTCCTTTACAAGCTGACAGAGAGCATGCAAAGTTCTTGTGGACCAAAGAATGTGAGGATTTATATAACAAACTGAAGATGGCTTCAACATTTGTGAGAATTCTGATGTATCCTCAGCTTGACAAACCATTTATTCTTGACATGGACGAGAGTATGAGAATGTCAGTTCTGTTTGATTCGAAGAAATAAATGAGCAGGAACGTGTACACCGGAGCAGTTGTCTATGTACACCAGAGAGGAATTACTTTCTCACTAGAGAAATGTTGCTTGCTACTGTTAAAGCCGCATAATATCTTTAACATTACCTCTATGGCAGAAAATTCTTACTGTGTACGGATCATGCATCACTGACTTGGCTATTAAATTTCAAGAATCCCAAAGGCCATATAACCAGATGGATACACCGACTCCAGGTACATGGCATAACTATCAGTCATAGGAAAGGATCATCACACGGAAACACCAATGCCTGTCTAGAAGACTACCTAGAAATCTACCAATATTGTTCCAGCATCGAAGCAAAACATAAGCTGGTTATTCCAGTTCCACTTCAAATTGCAAATTCAACGTTGTCTGACCCATGCATATAGTGGGATGAAGAACTTAGGGAAGACCAGTTGGAAGATTGTGGCATTAACCCATCATTTACTTAATGGAATCTTGAAGTAGGAAACCTACCTGGCAGGACATTTTGATCTATAGTCCTATGACAAAACAATATTGGGTTATCTGGGACTCGCTCCATATTCAAAATGGCATCTTGTACTGGAAGTTCAAATCAGATGATTGAAAGGCATTTCAGTGGCAATTGATACTTCCAAGATCCCAGATGTCCTTAAAGAATTACATAGCTGTTCGACTGGAAGCCACTTTGGAATGATGAAGTCTTTGCATAGAGTGTGAGGGCACTTCTGGAGTAATGTAAGGGCTGATGTGCAAAAGTGGTGCAAATCTTGCGATGCCTGTATGGGCTGAAAAGAATGGAAGAAATGCAGTTGAGGGAAGCTGCAACATTACAGTTTACACATTGCCTTTGACATCCTGGGACCTCTGCCATTAACTCCTGATGGCAACAAATATATCTTTGTTATTACTGAATACTTCTCAAAGTGGCCTGACCTTGATTGAGAGGCTATCATGGTAGGAGAGGTAATGATTGGATTTCCGTATTTGGAGTGCCTGTTCACTTACATTCTTATTAAGGAAGGAATTATCTCGGCTATTATTAAAGAACACTTCAAACTGCTAAAAATAGACAAAACCCAAAAAACAGCTTTACATCTGCAGTAAGATGGCATGGTAGAAATGTTTAATTGAACCATCCTGCATAACCTCTCGCTGATTGTTTCCCAAAAATATCGGAACTGTGGTCAGAAGATACCTTTGTTCTTATTGGTTTATAGCAGTTCCGTTCATGAGACTGCCAGCTATTCCCCTTCCCAAATGCTCATTGGTCAGGACGTTCATCTGGCTCGTGATCTCTTGTTTTGTTGCCTTTTACATGCTTCTTCGTCGCCTTCATCTTATTTGTCTATTGCAGTTCAAAACGAGCCTGTATGCACACAACACTACTTAAAATCAGTTGCTGTTAGAGGGTTTTCACCTAACATTGACCAAGTGGTTAAAAATTTCTCATCTCAACATATCAAGAAACATTTTCTTACTTTAGGGATTGTAAGAATTCTGTTGTCATTCCTTTCTTTTCATCGATTATCTATAAATTGCATGCATTTTACACAAATTTAACTTTCAGGTAATTTTTTCTCTTCTATCAACAAAATTTGCAGTTCCATCATTAAAGATACCTTTCCTAATAAGAACTTCTGCCAGTGTGGCTTAATATGCATTGGTCAAATTAAGAGAGCCTTAAAATTTTACACTAAGGAAAATGAGACATATGTCAAGAAAAAAGAAATGTATGAATCTTCAGTTGCCCGACGTTGTTGGTTATCACATTTTTTATTTTCTTTTAGTCGAAATTATTCAAAATCATTTTCTCTTTGTGAATTAGATTTCTAGAAGAGTTTCACATTCATAAAAATCTTTCAGTTCTAGTTAATGATCCCAGTATGAGTCATTTTTTTATGTTCAGCTCTGAAATCAAATTATTTCATAGTTGTGTTCTTTTTTCATCAATAGATGGCACCAGTAGCTTGTGCCATCTCATTGTTATCACATGGGCCCATACTTCTCTTTCATTCTGCAGCTGAAGAAGCAGATTCTTATATTTAAACCTTGGAAACTAGTCCTGCAAAAATATAAGTACTAGCTGATTCTTGTTACGTTAGCGCCTGCAATAATTGCTATTCCGCATGTTATTTTAACTCAGATGAGTGTATCTTGCCCTTTTTTTTAACACAGTTACTGCTTGAATAAGTGATTGGCTATTAGATTACCACATACCTGTATGTGATCTGCAGGGGAAGTATAAATGTAAGATCTATTGTGGTAACCATGATAAATAATACAAGTTCCTTAATAATTTTTCATTTGTTTTAAAATGCTATTTCTTTCTATTATTCTATCTATTTAATGTTAGCTATTTCTTTCTTCTGACTTTCATACATTTATTGAATATTTCACTGTTGAAATTGTTTTAATAGTTTACAGCAGAGCAATTCTCAAACTTTTAAAATTTTATATTGCATAAATAAGAATAAAAAATCTGTTTACCATCAAAAAAAGTATTTTCTGATTAAAAATCAGTGCTTCCTAAAAAATATATATAATTGCAGAATAAATCATTTTAAATTTACATTATTCAATTATCTTCATAAATAGAACTTTTATATTATAATGAAAATATTATGATGAATATATGCTGCTCTGATTTTATTAAACTAAATTCTTGGGAAAGTCTACTACTCCTTTCAATCCCAGAGCTGTAATTAGCATAAGAGCAGTGTGGCAGCTGCCATAGGCATCAATTTAAGGAAAGTGCCAAAAATTATATATGTATATATATATAAAGAGAGAGAGAGAGATGTATACCTGAATAATAAAGATTAAAATAAAATGTTAAAAGAGGTAAATTTTTGCAATTTTGTGAAAAAAAATTGTTCTGCCAAAATTGATGCAAGGTACACTGCGGAAAAAAATGGGACACTTCTATATCCTCTGTTCTACTGGGCCGATTGACGAAATTCAAATTGTGTTTTTCATGTCTTGAAAGCACAGCTTAGGATATATATTAGATTTATATATAGAATCATTCTAACATAGATTTTTGTCATAAAATTGGACAATTTCTGAAATGACGTGCCAATTTTTTTCCACATTTCAATTCTACTACTCAAATTATTCCTTTGAAAATAATCATTTTTTCTGAGGTTAAAATATTGACAAATAACTGGTATATATTATATAAGGGTTAAATATTAAGTTTTGTAAAATTTGGTGGGACATTTACAGAAAAATTCAAAAATTTATCTTGCCATATCTTTTTCAGCTTTCGGCAAGAATAATTTACTTGGTGAATTTATAGCAACCTATTTTCCTTTTCTTATCCTCATTGTAGATGTGTGGAAAAAAGTTCATCGTTCGTACTTTCAAAATGCTTCATACTTCAAAATACCAAATTTCAAAATGCTCAGATGTATAAATTAATGTGTATCTTAGAAAAGTTTGAATAAAAAACTAGTTTTTTGCAGATATGCCTAGAAATGCATCTACTTTAAGACAATGTTAAAAAATTTATAGATTATAATACAAAAATGTTTTTGAAAATGTTTTAAAAAATATTTTAAAATACAAATTTAAAAAATAAATCATAAAAATGTGTGAATTATATTTGGATTAAGCCTAAATTTCGAATTCTGTAAGAAGGAATCAAGTAAGTTTAATAAAAAAAAGATATGTTAATAAATATATATCAAATTCAATTAACATTGAGGAGCTAAAATTTTGAAAGCTAGTTTTTTAAAAACTACTCATGTGATTTTTACAAAACTTGGCAGTTTGGTATAATTTGAGTTGTAGAATTGAAATATTGAAAACAATTGGTATGTTATTTTAGGAAAAGTCTGATTTTGTGTAAAAATGGCTTTATTAGAACAGCGCTATATATAAATCTGATACATATCCTAAGTTGCGCTTTCGAGACATGAAAAATGCAAGTTGAATTTCATCAACCGGCCCAGTAGAATGTTATAGAACTGTCCCTCCTTTTTTTTTTGTGCAGTGTACCATTAATAACACTTGGACTATAATTTGAGAAACTGTGGTTTATGTTATTAAGGAAGATGGTATTCAAGCCTTAAATGCTAGTGACATCTGTAACTTGTTCTTGTTTTTGGTATTTATGTATTTATTGACACTTTCACTGATAAATTTTATTGCAATGAGAATTTGTGATAACTTTGGTAATGTTGTGTTATCAGGACCAGATCCAGAAATGTGTGTATAAATGAATTATATGCATGTACATATGCAAACGTGAATGTATATGTGTGCACACATATATTGCAATACATATATATGTCGTAATAAAAGCAAATAAATCAAAAGACGGAACACTGTAGATGCGTGCTTAGATCCATATTGAAGAAGAATTTTGATTTGCGTAGTATTTAAAGAACTTGGCAGTCAAGGCATTTTTAATTCCATTTTTATTTCCAATGATATTTGTGGCCACAATCACTTGGCACTCTAGTCGTGCCTTTCTACAGAAGATTTACATTTTTGATATTGTTGGAATAGAAAGCAATCCAGCGAAATTACATCTTTGCACAGTAGAGAGCGAAAGCTGAAGTGCGTAATTATGAAAGATGGAAGCACACGAAGAGAAAAGTTTTGATTTACAATTCGGTGATTGGTCGTCAAGAGGCATCTGGTATTAACGGTTACGTAAGATCGCATGATTAATTTGAATGATGCAATGCAGATAAGTTATTACGATTTTAGAATAGAGAGGAAGAATTAATGTTTATAGTTATATTATAATTCAGATTCATACATTTTTATCTTACATATATATACATGTGCATATATTCATACATTTCTGAATCCAGTTCTAATAATAGAACAGTACCAAAATTTCTTCTTTTTAAAATGAAACGCGCGTGAGTTCTTATGGTAGTGTATTGATGAAGATCTTGTCTATTTTCCCCAGTTATAAACATACATTTTAATAAATATATTTCTGATTGATATGTATAAAAATGAGATACTGTTTTTATTTTGTAGCTCATATTAGTGAATTGTTAGCTGAAAAGGATAAACTAGAAATTTCAAACAGCAATTATATAAAGAAAATTGAACAGCATGCTGTAAGTTTCATCTAGTTAACTCTCAGTAAAATAAAAATTTGTTTAAATTTTGATATTGTTTTCAAAATTCATGTAATATTGCTTCAATAGAATTTAATTTTAATGGTAAAATAAAGAAATAGAATTATTCAGTAATTATTATATTTCACAGTCCAGAATGCTGTGCTTCAATGAAAGTGACAGTTTTAGTATAAAAAATAATCACTATCATTTTAAAGGACATTTTCCCAGCATATTGGAAGACCATAAACTCCATTGTAACAGAAACCTTTAATATGAGACGCAAAGAATCCATCTGGTCGATGCCTTTTTCAGAGCTCTCAAGGATTCAGAACTGTACATCTTGGCCAATTTTATTTACTGTTTAATTAATAGATCAGATTTTGGTCTGTTTTCATTCTTTTTAGTAACCTGAAAGATGTTGTTTTCACTGTAAAAAAAAGGGGGGGGAGAGGCTACATTGGATGAAACAGAAAATTGTGCTAGTTCTTGCACCAAAGAATTTTTTTTTCCCCCTGGTTATAACAGTTGCCATTCGCTTACCATTGTAGTCATAAATAAAATGCATTGCTATTACATGCAGTGTAATCTTTGATTCTAATTATACTCTTTTTTTTTTTTTTTTTTTTTTTTTTTTTTTTTTTTTTTACATATTTTTTATGTATGTGAGTAATGTTTCTCACTATCAGAAAGCAAATCCTTGATCATATGTTTCAACTGCTGAGATATATGTTTGTCATCTTACAAGTGTTAGAAAAGGCTTAATCGCATTTTCAGGAATCTTAAAAATACATTAAACACATTGCAAGTTTTTTTTTTTTAATTATGTGTAACTGTTTAGCCTATTAACTACAGTTTTTAATTCACAATATCTTATACAATCAAATACCATTTTTTTTTTTTTTTTTTTTTTTTTTTTTTTTTTTTTTTGTAGAATTTTGGTGTAGGAGAATTTTATTTGTTTGGAAATAATTCAAATGCTAACTGTTGGTTAGGATATCTCAGGGTGTCTGTCATATTGAGATCTACTTTTTGTCTAGTGCCTATCAAAAAGTGCATCAGTAAATTGAGTGAATCAAAAAGGTTAAGCAAGGATCAGACATACTGCTATCTGCTTACAGTGGAACACTATAGCTTACTTTATAGTTTATCTTAGATAATGTAGGCATAGGTAGCTGATTTCTGCTCTAGACTATTTATTTATACACTCAACAAAATTAACATCATTGGGATAGCTGCTGTATCACTGTGGTAAAATTTTAATTTATTATATGGGGAAACTTAGGCAGTGATATTTGGATACTTATGTACAGCCGTGTTGTTGTGTATATACTTAATGCAGTTACAAGAAAAGATCTACTAGTTGAATTGTTCAGTAGCTAATTTTCACCTTATTTGTATTTATTTTGCATCTGATTGTTGGCATTCCTGTCTCCAGTTAGATTTCACAGCAACATTTATGTTTGATTCTTATTTGATATTATTACTTAGTGTTTTTATAAAATTTATTTCGCAGTACATTCAGTTGTAGTTCTCATATTTTGATAATATGAGAGAAAGTTGTGTTTGGAAAGTTTGTTTCTATATATTAAATATCTTTTTAAGCATATTTTAGCTTGAGGTTTTAAAATTCTGTATGTGTTGAAATGAAGTTAAAGTAGTTGAATTTGAATCATAAGGTTTACTTAATTTTGAAGTTTGAGTTTATAAACTGTGTAGATAAGAACTAATTAAGGTGTAAAAGCATAAATTTAAATGTATGTATTATTTATAAGACATTATAAATAATACATACATTTAAATTTATGCTTACATATTTATTGCTTACAGAGTGAAGTCACTTTGTGTCAGCTTCAGCACCAACAGACTAAAGCTGAGTTGAATATGTGTGAAAATAATTTGCGTGCTAATAATAAAGTTACAGTTGCTATCCACGAACCTTCTGAAGTTAACACTCCTGTAAAATCTCCTAAAGATGGAAGTCTTAAAACTGAAAACAGTGTACAGAATCAAGATAAGAAAATGGTAAGTAGTCTGAAGATTTGTTTTAGATGCATTTGCTTACACATTTTTTATTAAAAAAAAATTTTTAAAGTTAAAACCCATCACAAATTTTAACATTTTAAAAGCTTTATTATATATATATATATAAGAGATTCTTATATCCATTGATAGGTACATGGCATACATCCTTGTACATATCTTGTACATCCTATTTCATTCCAATGATTGTGGCATTGAATGGTAGCATTGAGTCCACAGATGTCAGAAACCTCAGGGAGCTACTGATCTGTTGCACATCCTGCCACAATGCTTAAGGTTGGCCAAAGCAGAACCCAATGCACATAGCTTAATAGATGGTCATGAACAAGCTCGGTTCGCATCTCGGTTACACAGAGCAGTGGGCACAAATGAACACAGCTTCCATTACAAATTTATGGCTGATAGATATTGCATGTATCTGAGAAGAAAAAATAACTTTATCTCACAACTGCTGAAGAGTTAATACTATTGCAGATGTGTTCAATAGTGTTGAGGTCAAGTAGTCTCAGGGGCTGAGAAAACACCCTCATGTCAATGAAGTGTTCCTTAGGCCATTCAAGAGCAATATTGTAGCAATGATCCTGTGCATTGTCTTCCTGTAGCTAGAGATCTCTTGAAATAGAAAAGAGAAATAAATAAGTGCATATAATTTTACAGAAGGTCTTTCTATCATTTGCTGGTAAGGGATAATCACAAATGCACCATTGAATCCATTCTTCTCTACAAACCATAGTACTCAAATCTTACTATCAATATGTATCAATTGGTACTTAAAACCTAAAAGTACCTGGCAAGTTTTTCCCATCCTTTAAAGATCCAATGATGATGTTCTTTCAGCCATTTAATCTTTGTGCTATGTTATGTGCAGTGAGTAGAGGTAACCTAATTGAAAACACCCTCATGTCAGTGAAGTGTTCCTTAGGCCATTCAAGAGCAATATTGGAGCTTTTGTTTCCCATAGTATAGAGGTGGTTTGACTTCTTATACTTCATTGTTCTCCAGCATTAAAGTAGCAAGGGATCTTCTGCATGATGTCTATCTGTCGGCTGCTATCATCTTAGCTTGCTAATGGTGAGCCCTTTATTCTGCATGTTATATGCACAGCAGCTAACAGTGGCACCAGTAGAATAGAATCTGTATATTCATGGTGCACTTTTGCCACAGTGGCTCGGGCAAAGCTCAATGCCTTCATGAGTTCAGAGACATTCAGACTCATGAGTTCGTAAGTTCAAGTGGTTTATATATCTGGATTCAATAATCTAGACTTAACCAGACATATTCAGATCTTACTCATCAGGTGTTTGACTGTTATGTCTAATATGTAATGCAGTGTCTGACAAGTTCAAAGTCATGTGCCATGCTTTAGTTTCCCATTTACCATAGCTGTGTGATGCAGTATTACCAGTATGCCAGCTTACTCCAATTCAATTGCTAATCAGTATGTAAAACAAATCCATTTTTTTTTTTTTAAATCTGAAATTGGGAAGTTAATATTTTAAACATGAAATAGAACATATTTAATATTTTTTAGATATTCAACATGTATTGAGTATTTATGTAATATTTTTAGAATATAGTAGAAACTTGGTATATGTCCTACTTGGACGCAAAAATTTTTGTTTGGAATATGACTCGTTCGATGAATTATGAGTGTACGCACTATACTTGTTTACCTCTTTTGAGATTATGCTATGACTGCCTATAAGCATCAATATGCATGTTGCTATTATTCAGTACACAACACTTGCTATAACTTTGATTTTTCAAGTGATTTTGCAATGTTTTTGTATAAATTTTTTTGTAAATTCATTAACACTAAGTTTTAGAAAATTTAATGAGAAGAGTCAAACAGTGAAAAAAATTGTTAGAGCCATCATGGAGGTGAAAAAAGAAATTGTTCAAAAGTACAAAGATGTCATGCATAGCCGGGACTTGGCTATTGCATACTGTATGCTGAATGCAATGGTGTCTATAATTGTTGGAAAAAAAAAGACACTTTTAAATTAAACATTGTGAAGCAGGTGAAACTGATTATCAAACTAAGATGAGGGATATTAGAGCATGTTGAAAAATTACTTTTGATTTGCATAGAAAAACATTTATATACAGTATCATGCAATACTTCATATACAACCCATATTAGTATACCATATTTTTGCACGTACTAGCTGCATACATATTTAAGCCTTAACTTAATTTTTACCTTTAATATTAAAAAAATGGAGAGAAAACTACACGTAGTCTGTTTACCATTTACAATATATTTTCATTTTGAAAAATGTAAAAGCAGCTAAAATGAAAACACTGAATTTTATATATATATATATATATATATATAAAAGTATATATATATAAAAAGACAAAAGGTATATGTTTCTGTGTTTAGCACCCGTTCTTCACTGTCATTGTTAGTACCACTAGAGCAGTTGCTTTCGTTTCCAGTATCGAGCTGATGTTTTCCAGCATGTCATTCTCAGAACCATCGAGTGCTGGATATTCCTCACATTAAAAATCCTTAAAGGATTGTTTCAGGCTTGACCTTTCCCAGGCTGCCAGAATCATTTCTTGAAAACACTGCACACATGGGCATATAATGTTTCCTTTGGATTGTGAAGTCATGGTTTCCTTTTCTCACCAATCATAAAGTCTCCAGAATGAACTTTTAAAGAAGCAATTAACAGTAACTGCTGTGTTCCCACATGTTTGAATGCACCTGTTTCTAATCGTTTGTGTGTAGAAAAGTGCAGCTTATACACGGGAGAGTATGGTATATTTCACCCATTGCACTTTGTATTTTAGTATTAAACACTGTTGTACTACGTTTTGCGCAGACGGTATAAGCTAAGCTAAAATTATCTAATTATCTATTTCAGTTAATGTTGCAGATTACGTTGTTCCTTAATCTTCTAATTGGATCCGGCTTATTATTTTTTGCAGACTGTTAGAGCAATTTTAGAAAAGTAAGCTTGAACTTTCGATTATGTCAAAAAGAATTTCTGATTCTGGAGCTGCCAATGAATCTACAAAGCGAAAGCATGTTTCGATGTCCATCAAACAAAAAGTGGAATTGCTGCAAAAAATGGATAAAGGCATATCCTTTGTTTCTCTAACCATTTCGAAATCTGTTTATCAATTTCACGCTGCTCTGCGGGGGATGGGAGGGCGTTGCGCGCAATGAACTGGAAGTTGATCTGTCAGCACTATCCTTATCTTCAGATGTTTTTATTTTATTCGGTTTATAATTCTTTACTAAATGTAGTATTTCATCTGGATGTACTCCGTTTTTGATATGGTTTAAATCAAATTCCTCGTCATTATAAATATCACGAATACACATCAAATAGTTGTCTGGTTGCAATTTTCTTAATTTCGACTGTGCGTAATGTATGCTTTACGCATGTGCGCCTTGAAAGAAATGTTTAATAAAGTAAACAAATAAATATTAAGCTTTTTTTTGTAAATTTTGATACCCTTTAGATCATAATTGCTCTTTATTTCATAAATTACAGTTTCATATTTTTAATTTTATAATTTCTGCATGCCATCTTACCAGATTTAAACTGATGATCTATAATCCTGAAAAACTGATAATCCGGAATCACCGAAGTCCCGATGAGTCCGGATTAAAAGACTTTTGACTGTACCTCTAGTATTTGGGTGCAGTAATGCCATATTGCTACTACTGATAATGAGATACAGCTATATGGATGTTTTCAGGTTTGCTTTAACCGGAATAATCTGTTAATGATGTAATTAAAAGAATTATTAAGATTCATTAATGTAGTCAGTTGTTCATTAATATTACAGTTGCTTCTTTTTTAGGCATGAGGATATTGGGTTACATTAACGAGCAGTTTGTTGCTTTATATGCAAACTTAAAAAATGAATTGGTTTTTAAATTTTATATGTATTAGCTTGTTTAGTGCTTAGTTCAGGAACATGGCTGTCGTGTTACATTATCTGATGTTGGGCAATACGTAATTCTTGTTACAAGTTTAGAAAATGTTAATGTTATGTATTTATTTTGTCTGTTTTATTTTTTTATGCTTTGATATAGCATATTCTTTTTAGAACTTTCCTTTTTACATCCAATTTTCAAGTTCTGGCTGTCAGGAAAAAAAAATTAAAATTTTTTACTGTTATAATTACAATTTATTTAATTAAACAAATAACATAAATTTATTAAATTATATATTCAAAGAAGAAAAGTAAAGGTATAAATCTTTACTTTTCTTCTTTGAAAGCATATTAACAGTAGTTTTTGCATTAATAACTGAAGAAACCTCTAAGAAATAAGATATAAAAATTCAGAATTTGAAAAGTCAGTTTAATGTTAGCAGTGAATCAGTATGCGTCATCAAAATGTTATTTATTTATTTTTTGTTGAAATTTTGTAAAACACATCAAAAATAAATTATTTTCAAAGATTTAATTGTATAAAAATGTATTAGTGGTTATTTTTCATTCAAGATTTAGAAATCTTCAATAAAGTTACAGATGGTGTATTTAAAAGTACCTTGTTCCAATTGATGGTGTATCTTAAATACCTTATTTCTAATAAAAATTTGTCGGTGAATATTTTTTATGCAAAATTTCAAATCTTTCTTCTATAAAGTTACAGATGGTGTATCTAAAAATACCATGGTCTTGTTAATGAAAATAAAATTCTTTACTATAATTTACCAAATCTAAAAATGACAAAAAGTGAAATAAGAATTTTTGGTTACAGAAATTTAATTAAAAAAATTTGTTACTTTGTAAAATCAGAAAATTTAGCTTGGAACAGAATTTTGTTTTGTTATTTTTGCTTAAGAATATTATTTTTGCTAACATTTTATGATAATAAAATTCAGTAAATGCCTTACAATTAAAAAAAAAAAGATATATAAGAACTTTTTCTTTTATAAATATTTAATTTTCTGTTTTTTCAGCCATAATAACTATATAATATCTGGGTGTTGTTAGATACTGGATGTTTTTAAGAATTTTCTTGTATTTCTTAAATCAGCACTGAGGTTTATTATAAATCTTTTTATACTTTTTGTAAAAAAGAACTAAATCCCGTAAATAGCAGCATATAATATTTACTAAGAATTATCAGCTTTAATAATAAATTTTAAATAAAATGTGAGTGAAAAAGTCTAGCTGTTTTTTTAAAATGTGTCATATTTTTGTGATGTAATTCATTTGAAGATTATAATAGAAATTCTAAACTGAAAAATCAATGAGTGGCAAAATGAGTGTTTGTTGGATGCTTGTTATTCAATCATACAAACACCACATAAGAGATTGATTTGAAATTTTCTTATAGTTTTTCAATGCATTTCTTTAATCCATTGGTTAACAAGCTTCATAAATTTTATTCTTGTTCGCAAGTGATGGGCAAAAAACCTGTAAGGTGTTACTATTCCATGAACTTTTTATATAAAATTTTGCATGTTCTTCAAGTTGATTGTGGAGCAATGCTGATGTAAAACAGCATGAATGGGAATAAGATATAAATACAGTAAAAAGTCCAAAATCTGGACTTGTCGGAACTTCGGGGATTCCGGATTCGGGATGTTTCCGGATATTAAATCATCAGTTTAGATCTAGTAAGATGGCGTGTAGAAATTATAAAATTAAAAATTGAAATCATTATTTATGAAATAATCAAGTATTTATGATCTAGAAAGTATCAGAATTTACAAAAAAAAAAAAAAAAAAAAGCTTAATATTTATTAGTTTACCTTATTAAACATTTCTTCCAATGTGAATTGTTTAAGTTGCTTTGTTTTTTATGCTAATACTTTCTCTTTAATTCTGTAGGCAGACATAATCTCTTGCTTAGTTACATTGTTAAAGTCCTGTAACTGCTGTTTTGAGAATTCCTACTAACGTATCAATTGAAATTTTCTCGTTTTCAGTAACTTTTCTGTCACTTTCTTCGCTAATGGTAGTGTTATTTTCTGGATCTTGAACCATACTACAGATTTTGCCATTCATTAATTGATTGATGATTGAGAAACACAGTCATCACTATGAAAAACTTCTTTTATATCATTTTCATTTATTACCGCTTCTCCACATTTATCCACAAAATCCATAATTGAAAAATTTCACCTTTGTTTTATGATATCCGAAAACCTTTAAAATTAGTGGCTATCATCATCAAATTTAGCTATCCTTCACTATACATATTTGGCTATGCATCATGAGCTTGGCGACTAACGACAAGTTGTTCCATTAAATTTTATTTTGCTTTTATTGTCCACTGAGACAATTAAGTCTGAATTGTATTAGTTATTATACATATGTCCATTTTTTTGCACATGCTTTAAGCTTATCAGAATTATGAATAAATAAATTCTCACATATACTTAAGCCTTATTGAGGGACGGCACTAGATATCTTACTGCCTGATGCAGTCTGTGTAGGTCCTAAAATTCTGCGACTCCGTGCAGCCATATAAGCCCTGCCACTCGTTTTGGGTTTATGTTACTAACAAATCACATATTCTTAATTCAAATAGCCCTAAATGTAATGTTTGGATCTATGAGTATCATGAACAAAATCAATTTTTAGCATATACAAAGAAATTTTTGGTAAATATTTCCTCATTGCACAGTAACATTTGCGGTTTTGCAGCTGAGGATGGTGGCTCAGTAAAACCATCTAAACTAGTCCTGCGAAAATTTTGAAAATATATCGCTGATTTTTGTTGTTTGACTTCTGAATTAGTATTTGTTCGGCTTGTTATTGTGTCTTAAATATTTCGTCAACACTTTTTAGCGCATTTAACTTAACTCTGTAATCATAACCAAGCATAATGTCAACATAAAAGATTACCATACTTCTTTATTGGCCCACCAGCGGCCGAGCGGTAAAGTCGCTGAACACTGGTAGTTCGGTCCGAGGTTCGAATCCCGCGAACGGGCTGGCTGCATGGGTGTTTTCGTGGTTTTCCCCATGTGTAACGTGTATACGAGCCAGTTTCCCTTAGAAAGTCCTCCACGAAAGGCATCCCTCCCTTTAGGCAGATAGCCCTAGTGTGCTTTGCCATAATTAAATACACCACCATACTTCTTTATTATTCAATTACTAACATAAAAAATTGTTTAGGCATCGCTACATTACTCAAGTTGTCATGTTTTGATAAATATGCGATGATGAAAGGAAAGAATAATAAATAATGATTCGCCAAGTTGGCGTCAGATCAACGATGTATCTATGCGGAATGTTTCAGTTTGAGATGTGTGCCAAAAAGCAGATACGCAGCAACGGAGCCAGTTACTGATCCTACAAATTTATGCTAAAATGTTTGCTTCTTCAATAACAAGGTATTTTATTTAGTGTCGAAGTGAAATTAAGAATCGGTCTCCAGATGTTTTATTATGCATAGAGGGTATAATGCGTATGCATAAAGCCTAGGAGAGAAAAGTGGTTGGTGGTTTCGAGGTCCGGATTTTTAGATCATTCCAGATAATGGGCATCCGGATTTTGGACTTCATACTGTAAAAACATTTAAACAGCAAAATACAGAATATGTATTTTAAATTTTATGATTTATTTGCTACATGAATTTGAAAGAAATCTGTAAAGTTAAATACTTGAAAGAAAACATAATTTTTTTTAAAATTTAAACGATTAAAAAAAGCTTTTATAAAATTATTTAAAAAAATTAAGAATACATACTTTTGCAACTTTGCAATGCCAAACTTACTTGGATAAAGCAGTGTAATAATGCGGTTAAGGACAAATTTTATTTTGTTGGAAGATAATCCTGATCCACAGTTAAAAGTCAACCATTTACGAGGACTGCTTTAGTTTTTATGCTATAAAAAATGCTTTGAGCTGTAAATCTTTTTTATCTTCGAATAAGTTCTGTTGTATAAAATGGTTAATTTTACACAACATTTATATTTTTTCAGTTTTTGTCATTAATCTGTTTTTATCTTTTTATATGGATAGACCCAGGAGTCAGAAACAAAACCTGTCAACATTACGAAAGAAAAGCCAGTAGTGTTGGAGAAGCCACATGTTTTATCTGGAAATAATCTTGGAGATGGTGTTCTGCCAAAGCCATTAGAGGAAAAATTGGAAGATTCACATAAAAATGTTTCACCTTCTGAAGTAGCAGAAGCTAGTGAAAAGAAGGTTGCAAAATTGCATGTTTTGGACCACGCTGAAGAAAAATATGCTGATAGCAAAATTGATTTAGTTAATGGTGAGCTGAAAAATAATCAGTTAGAATATGATGCTCATCAGAAAGCATACCATAGCCAACATAAGGAACAAGAAAATTATCCTCAGATGCTACCACCACATAATTTTGATAACATGGGTGATAAGGATGATCATGCTGCTGAAAGAGGAGAATATGGACCCCAGGTCTGTTTACTTTATTCCTTTAACTCAGACTTACACAGAAATTAATTGGATCCATGCAAAGCATTCACATAGAAATTATTTAGCCCTTTTTTATGTGTCCATCTGGTTTATCTTATTTTATAATTTAGCCTTCTTTTAGTGATATTGAATAGAAATGGAAAAAAACGAAAAGTATAACGAAACATTTAAAGTGCTTTTTATATGATTTTAATACTTCATTTGAAATTTATTGAAATTTGATTTTTTTAGTTGAATTATTTGAATTTGATTAGTTGAAATATGATAAACATTTGATGAAATGCACTGTTGAGTTGTTGGCGAATATCCATCTTTGCCGGCAAATTAATTTCTAAGGTGGAGTTTAAATGTGATTGTGAGTATTCATTCTTTTTTATTTGAGTTAAATGTAATAAATCAGCAACACTGTAACTCACCCAACTTAAATCATCATTCTGTTTTGTTAAAAGCAGACATGGAAAACAAAACAGCCTGTTATATTTGCAACCACATATCCATGAACATTTCTCATATAAATTGGGTTTGAATTCTCTTTTGAAATCTATACTATTAAAATCTGTATGTAACGTGTATCCAGTATCTTTTGGATGCATACGTGAATAAAGCAGGCACAGCCCGGATAAAGTCGCTGAGAACACTGGTAGTTCCGTCCAACTTTCGAATCCCGGTGAACGGGCTAGCTCCGTGGGTGTTTTTGTGATTTTCTGCATGTGTAACGTGTAATCCAGTATCTTGTGCATGCATACGTAAATAAAGGGGGCACAGCCCGGATAAAATCGGTGAATACTGGTAATTTGGTCGAACATTCGAATCCCAGCAAACGGGCTAGCTGCATGGGTTTCATGATTTTCCACATGTGTAATGTGTATGCAGTATCTTGTGAATGCATACGTGAATAAAGCTGGCGCAGCCTACATAAAATCGCTGAACACTGGTAGTCCGATCCAACTTTCGAATCCCGGCGAACGGGCTGGCTGCATGGGTGTTTTCGTGATTTTCCACATGTGTAATGTGTATGTAGTATCTTGTGGATGCATACGTGAATAAAGCGGGTTCAGCCCACTCTCCTAGTGGGCTTCTCTGCTAGCAATCAAGTCAGTTGGCGAATATCTTGTGGATGCATATGTGAATCATGTGAGCTAGCAATATCTTGAGGAGGCATAGCCTGCTCGTCTATACTATCAAAATCTGTGCGTGTCTGCCTATCTGTTTGTTTGTTGGTGGCATAATCTTGTCTGGAATGGCGGGGAGTTGAGTTTCGAGAGAGGTACCCCTGGATTCCAAAAGTTCGTGGTAAGCCATTTTGACCATTTTCATCTTGGTATGACTTTAATTAGCCAATGTACTATTTAAAAACTCAGAAAAATGCTAATTTTCATCCTCATTTTTCCGAGTGGCAACAGTCTTGCTCGCTGGAGATGAAAATCTGCTTTATTTCGAGAAGTGTTTCCCTGCTTGCTTTCAATTCATAGAGTTTCTTAAACAAATTTCTGAGTTTATCAAAATATGAAATAAAAATAGCATTCCCAAACATTAAATATATTACTCCGGATTCCAAAAATTCGGTGGAAGCCATTTCGACCATTCTCATATTAATACGATATTTATTAGCCCCGATAATAATTAAAAACACTGAAAACACTCATTTTCACCTTCATTTTTCCAGGTGACAACAGCCTCGCATGCTGGAGATAAAAATCTGCTTTAAAATTGGTATTGCCATAGTTATTCTCATCTTTTTTAATAACATTTCTTTAAGGGGTTACCTAAAAGTAGTCCACTGACTGACTAAATTAAGAAGCTTGGTAATCATGTAGTAAGCAATCTACTGCTTTTAGTTAACTGTTTATTTTTTAAATGGCACTATTAAAATATTATTTTTATATTTGAATAAGAATAAGAAAGATTATCCTTTGTTAAGATTTGAAGACTGATTATTATTCCTTATCTTAATGTTATATTTTTAACTAATAGTTAACTTTTCCTCTAGTATGCAAATCCTGATATTAAGCAACAAGTTGAATTGCCAGAATTTAGTCCTAGACATAATGGAAAATGGAAGAATGTTATACCACCTCCCCGACAAGCTAACAGTGACAATGCAGCAGCTCAAATGCAAGATATGATGAATAAATCTCCAGGTGATGTAAATAATGCTGATGTGCAAAGTGCTTTACGTGTACCACCGCAGGATTTTGGCCCCATTGATAACAAAATTCAAGAATTCAAAAATGCTGGTTCATTTGTGCACAGAGGAGCTGATGTTCATAATGTTATAGATGATAAAAATTATGAAGAAGGTATGCATTATTTTACATTTAGGTATAATGTGAAATTTAGAAATAGGTTTAATTAGATGCATTTTGTGCATGCAGGCTAAAATTTTATTTTTTAAGAATTTAAGAGGTCAGTTAGTGTTTTAAAGAGACCCAAAAATTTATTTTTATGTTATTAGATTAAAATTTTACCTTTTACAAGCATTTTAAAATAAAAGGCATGAAAAAATTTGCTCTAAAGCCAAAGTAAGAGTGTAGCTCTAAGCTGTAATCATTTAAAGAGCCGGGTACTTATGTACAGTACAAAGTTTGTAATCCGGACTCTTCGGGACTTTGGCGATTCCAAATTAGGATTTTTTCCCAATTATAGATCATCAATTTAAATCTGGTAAGATGGCAGGCAGAAATTATATAATTAAAAATATGAAATCGTAATTTATGAAATAAAGTACAATTGTGATCTAAAGGATATCAAAATTAACAAAAAAGCTTAATATTTATTTGCTTACTTTATTAAACATTTCTTTCAATGTAAGTTGTTTAAGATGCTTCCACAAAAAATTCAAAAAGTTCCTTTTTCTTGTGTCATATATAGTGGACTTTCCAATGCCATACTTCTCGCATAATTTTGAGACAGATAAGCCTTTATCCATTTTTTGCAGCAATTCAACTTTTTGTATAATGGACATTGAAACGTGCTTTCGCTTTGTAGATCCTTTGGCAGCTCCAGAATTGGAAACTCTTTTTGACATAATCGAAAGTTCAAGCATTAATTTTCATATAATGCTGTAATTATAACAGTCCAGCAAAAATAATAAGCCGGATCCAATTAGAAGATTAAAGAACAGCCTAATCTGCAACATTAACTGAAATTCCTTAGATAATTTTAGCTTAGCTTATAGCGTCCGTTATACATTAAACGCGCATAACGAATGTGTGCATGTGCATAAAGTTTGTAGCTTTGAGATCCGGATTATAGATCATTCCAGATTATGAACATCCGGATTACAGACTTTGTACTGTAGTTTGTTTACATTTGTACTTTGGCAAATTCCTTATGTTAACTCTTTGTAATTATATGCACAAAATGCTTCTGTATGTAATTTTTTACAGATATGTAGTTACACATGACAGAAAAATTGACCAGTTTGCATATCTGTCTTATGCACCATAATCACAAAAATCTGTACCTGGTGTTTCTTATTGCATCTGTTGGTCATGTACTTCCAGTTTATGGAAGTGTTTTAAGTGATGCAGATGTTCATGTTTTATCATTTTTTAATTTTAAGAAATAAGTGTAGTAAAAATTTTGAAATCTAACTTATATATACTCATCCAATCCCTCTACTTACATTAAGGAAATTTTATACTCATTAGACCAGTGATATGGCCTCTTTTCCCTTCCACTTTAAAAGTGGCTTTCAAAGGGATAGTATGTTGGTGAATAACATGTTGTTTCTGGAAAACTGCATCCAAAGAGCTTGTCAAGAGAAACATTTAGTCTGTTTTTTACTTCCTTGTACGAAGTAAAAAGGAAGTATTGTATTTGCGAAAAGTTTCAGGCAGCATATTTCAACGAAAATATCCATTTTGACCGCTATCGAATGCAATTTAACGATGTTTTTGCGTGATATCTGTACGTAAGGACCGAATAAAATACTCTTTTCCTTCAAAAAAAATATAAAACTGCTTTAAAATTAATTCTGAAGAGAATTTTTCGTGGCGTCTGTACGAACGTATGTACATATCTCGCATAACTCAAAAACGAGTAGCCTCAGAACGTTGAAATTTTGCGTATAGGACTGGTATAACATGTAGATGTGCGCCTCATATTTTGGTTGCAATCAGCCGCACCAAACTTATATAAATATATTTATATATATATCCACTCTGTTACCCGGCTCAATGATCTCAGTTTCTTTACTCTTATATGTTTGTAAATTGTACATTTTTTGCTTTAAAAATCATTGAATTATGTTGTTTTTAATCTTCCGGTTAAGGATTTTATGCCTTTAGTAAATCTGTGTGCAATATTTTTAGAATATGAGCAATTTTAAAGTTGTTTAATTGCCGCTAAGCCTTTTTTAATGGCGGCCATTGATGTTTACATTTGAAACAGGAGACTAGTGGCTTGTTGCCAATCTAAAGAAACTTAGCTTCGCAACAACAAAGATAACGCATTCATTTATTATTGCCAATTAAATCATGCTTAATTCTTTCTGGAATTTTTTCGAGGAAAATAAGTGTTTGAATTTACTTCGTAATTTTTAATATAGATATTTTGAGTTTTTATGTATTTTTGCCTTCTCGCGAAGTGAGAACTGAATTAATTAAATGAGAAATACTCAATCGTCTGTGAAAAACTGTTTCTTTTTTGTTTTGTTTGCTTAATTTCTTTTATACATCATTCTAGCTTTATTATAGTATTTGAATAGAACATGTGGCAACGATTAGATAATTCTATTCTTTAAGTGATATAAATTTTGTGCATTATGAGTTATAATATGAATGAAATATAATACTGTTAAGTAAACCTAGCGCCAGAGTGTCGCTATGGTAAACAAACTGAATTTTAAAGAATGCATTTATTCTATTGTGGTTTATGCGCTGTCGGTGAAGTAGGTTTAATTCAATCTAATAAGTTTAAATGAAATGCAAGAAAAAATGCGTATAATTTAATATTCCGTACAAGGAAGTCGTGGTGTACATATCAGATTTTTTTTTTTTGTTTTTGAAATGGTAACAGTTTGTGATAAAGCCTGTCGGTATGGCATTTTACTTGGTCTTTATGATAGTGACCTTTGTGATAACTTAACAATTTTTATACAGAACTTTTTAAATGTTAGGGCCTTTCAAGTAAGAACTGGCTTTGTGTTGTCAGATATTTTTAAGCAAGATGAGGTTTAGTCACAAGGCCGTATTCTCAGTGTTACTTTGTTTCAGCTTAAAAATAAACTCTTGCCCTAAAAATATTTACTCCTACTGTTCTAGGCTCATTTTATATTGATGATCTGATAAATTGTTAAGGTTCAGCCATGAGGAGACAATTACAGATCGTTCTTAGCAGGATTCAAAAATGGTCAAGCAGACTTGACATTGTGTGGGGGGTTCTCAACCAGAGGGGAATTTCCCCGGGAAAGAGTTGAATTTCATAGTTTCAATTGGAAATACAGTCAGCCTTTTATTTAGCTGTTAAGTATTTAGTTTGATTTTATGAATGTAAAAAACTACTTTTATTCAAGTTTTAGTATTTCTCAACATTTTCTGTGCTTTTTGTTGTTTAATTTATAATACACATTAAAAATTTGTTTAAATGTAGAAAAAAATATGTATTTATTTTCTGAATTTTGAAAAGGAGGGGGAGAATGAACTTCTAGCAGCAGAGAAAAAAGGCTTGCATAGGGTAAAAAAAAAATTGAGAACCCCTGTTTTATAGACTAGAAGAGAAACACGCTAATGTGACAATCAAAATCGTAAAAACAACCTTGTATTGAGCGTAAGTATAATGAAACACTCAATCAATTTCAAGGGCAGCTAAAGGTCCCTCCTCATCAGGAGAAAAGAAATACCTAGAAAGAAGAAAATAAATAAAGGAGAAGGAGTCTCAGAAATACGTGGTCCTTATCAGCACTGCACGTGGTTATAACTGGATTTTTAATAAGAGTTGCACTGGCCGCCTACTTTTACTGAGCCAGGCTAACTGATCAAGCATAAAGGACAAGATCTGAGCCAGGCTATCTGATCAAGCATAAAGGACTCTTGATCAGATAGCCTGGCTCAGTAAAAGTAGGCGGCCAGTGCAACTCTTGATTAAAAATCCAGTTATAACCACGTGCAGTGCTGATAAGGACCACGTGTTTCTAAGACTCCTTCTCCTTTATTTTCCTCTTTCTAGGTATTTTTCTCCTGATGAGGAGGGACCTTTAGCTGCCCTCGAAATCGATTGAGTGTTTCATTATACTTACGCCAAATACAAGGTTGTTTTTACGATTTTGATTATCCCTGGTTTATGTTTTCAAAGTAGAAGGTTGTTGCATGTATTTTTGCAGAAAGTGAAATTTATATTCTGAATCTTTACCTTCAAGGTTCAATGATTTCAATTACATCCAAAGTAAAATTTTTAGAAGTAATGTTTGATGAATAGTTAACTTTCTTTTCATATATGCAGTACTTGAGAAAGAAATATTTCAAAACACTGAATCGTTCTTTTCCAAGCATTTAGCATGTCTCCAATCTTGAGTCTGTATGTGGATTGTTACGAACTGTCTCTTCATCTAAGTCATGTATGACTATCTCTGCACCATTATTTCAGTATATTATCACAACTTGACCACCAAAATGGGCTTTTCTGCTTGATGACTTACGTGATCACTTATTTAAAGCACAACCATTTTGTATATCTTCTTTCTCTATAACAGTTTGTTCTAAGATGGAAGAGCATTGCATATCTGATCTGAATACCAGGCAGTAAAACATTCTGAAATCCCGCCTTGGGAAAATGTGCAAAATGTCGTATTATTTTCCCTCCATCAGGGAAAAAAGATACACTACTGAGATTTATATACCAGTAGCTTTTTCTGGAGCACTGATATAAGTACATCAGTTACATTACTGGATGCACATATGGATCAAAAGAAGGTAACCATGAAAATATTGTTTATAACTGATGATTATATGGAGGGTAGACTTTTATATGATACTTAGTCCATTACTTAGTCTGAACTGAGTGCTGTATATTATTCCCTATTAGCCCACCAGCGGCCGAGCAGTAAAATCGCTGAACACTGGTAGTTCGGTCCGAGGTTCAAATCCCACGAATGGGCTGGCTGCATAGGCGTTTTCATGGTTTTCCCCATGTGTAACGTGTATATGAGCCAGTTTCCCTTAGAAAGTCCTCCATGAAGGCATCCCTCCCCTTAGGCAGATAGCCCTAGTGGGCTTTGCTATAATTAAATAAACCAAACCAATTATGCCCTATTACAGTCAAAAGTCGTTAATTCGGACACCCATAATCCGGACCTCAA